TGTTTCGGTTTCGGGTTTCGAAATTTGTCAATTGCAGTTTGCTTCTCCGTGATAATAAATTTGTTTTACCACCTAATTGGAAACGTGTCTCCCTAAGCCAATTCCGGACAGTGCTCAAACTTCAGTGTTTGTCCTTTGCTAGTCCCAAAATATTAGTACAACATAATCACTGTATACCCGAAATTTCACACTCTGACGCAATCGTGGCAACTGCAGGGCCAAAGTGTTAAAGTCAATAGGAAAACAAAGGCAAATCTCCTGAACAAAACCAACAAAAGTTACTCTTGATATTTTGAAATATGGTAAAGCTGTAGAAGGATGGCTGCATATTAATCAAATAAATGCATTTTGATTATACAAACAGCGCCAAACTGTGGGTATCTGTGATGTGGGGAAAGTGGGCGTGGCCATTCCCCATCCCACATCGCATTCCGCTTCCCGCAAACACATACACTTACTGATACCCCCACTTCAGTCTGGTGGCACAGCCCTCCGAAAAACTGATTTCGAAAGTTACGATCCTAAGCCGCCGTTCACACCCCTGCCACCCGAAATGGCTGGCAAAATCCATTAAACTTTTACGACTATTGTAAACATTAACTTGCATATGCATTTTATGTGTAAAGAGGAACGCGCGCCACAGGGTATGCAATACTTTTTAGCGCCGCCATTTAAAACTTGCCACATTGACTAGGAGACTCCGCACAGTTCTGAGCTCTGAGCCATGGGCCGCAGGATTTGAGGAGATTGGTGGAGGCCGGCGAACGGAACTCGTACTATATATCAGCATCCTCAGACATTGTAACCAACAGAGATTTGATTTTTGAGCGGAAACTCGAGGGGGCCGAGAACAGTGTAGAAGGGGCCTGGGAAATCTGGCAGGCTGGCACTTTGGAAGTCGGTCTGGGAGCCGACAAGGATCCATTTAAGAGTCGCGTCGTGGTATCTAGGCGAGGAAATGTTATGCTTATTTACTGTGACTTCCGAGAGCCGAGATAACAGTGCGTGGAATGGCCACGATGGGATGCAATATATATTGTGACTAGGGATACCAATTTTCCTAAATTTATTGATCCCTTAAAAATACTTCAATGATGAGGCCACTTGCTGTGTAGCTATAGCTTGCTGATGGCGATTCTGCTACTGTGGCCCGTTTAATGCTCGTTTCGGATCAAAAGTATCTTTGTAGCCCATCGTGACATCAGCTGCATCCATAAAACGATAATTTATGGCAAATTTATAATGTTGTAAGTGCCAACAAACTTGCTGTAACTATCCATAAAAGGTCGGACGAGCCACCCACTGTGCCAGCGAACTAGCCAGGCAACCCCCAACCACCCATAACCCCTTCGCTCGTAAAGAGACTTGGCCAAGCCATAGATAAGAGTGGGAAAACGGGCTTTGAATGCAGACCGGGTGCTCGCGGGTACCGGCGTGGGGCGTGGGGATAGGGGTTATGTAGCCGCAACGCCATCCAAAGGGCACACACCAAAGGCGTCACACCATAAATACTACAAAATCGTAAATACACACGCCCCATGACTGCGACGCTTTGAAGTGCCGAGTGCGAAACCATTCGCACAGTTGCAGCTACTAGATACAGATTCAGATGCGAATACAGATTCAGATGCAGATACAGTTAGGGGAGCAAGCGGGCATCCTGCATAATGCCTGTCCGTCCAGCTACCCTCTCCTAACATTCCGCCCAAGGAACGGACAGATTCAACCCATGTAGTGGTCAGCCTACGAGGTTTGCCGTTTATTCAGAGCGAAAATTAAGGGAACTCAGTGCTCGTTGGTTGATCGCATATTCCGTTTAGCATTTAATCCGCCAGATATCGCACTCCAGGGTGTTTGGCAGTCGCATATTGCATTAGGCCCCTAATTTTTTCCGACCGCCGAAACTCGTCAACAGGCCAGTGTGGTAAAGTCCAAAACCAAAACCGAGTTCAAGTTGGAAAGCAAAGCTGAGAGCTGTACTCGTATGCGAAATAGCTTGGCCGCTTTTTGTTCTAATTTTGATTTTTGGCTCATTGTGCGTAGTCAGTTCGACTCCGGACCTCTGGGGCATTCGGCATGGCATGGTGAAGGGGCGGACTTGGCTTCTGTCATGTTGCATGGTCCTAGGCATTTTATTTATGCGTGAAATGCTCTGAAATCTCCAAACTCGCATCGTTCTATTCCATTCTGCTGGTAGACTGTGTGTCTGCGATTCTGTGCAAGTGTCTGGGGCCCACTTCAGCGCCCGGAAATTAAAACTTTTTTATGGTCCTGGTATTTTGTGTGTAAATAAAACTCGAAATTTATATATACATTCGTAGTTAAATAAATTGGTCAGTGCAACAAATTTGTGCAGCAGGCCAAGTAGTTCAAGAATTTTGCCGTGAGCACCAACTATACGAAAATTCAAAATCATGGAGTTGATGACACAACATCTCAATTAAAGAATTAAAAAACATAGGAAATTTAAAACTTAACACCTTACAAATTGGAAAAATATCAAAAAACACGGCTTTAAAGTCGTTTTTATAACCTTGTAAAGGTTATAATTTCAGTCAGAAGTTTGCAAGGCAGCAAAATTATCATCTGGATCGATCTAGATATGTACGTCTGTCAGTTCCCATGTAAAATAGTCCCTTAGTTTTAAAGCTATCCTGCAGAAACTTTTCCAAAAGTTGCGTAGTTATTGTATATTCTTGATCAGCATCACGATCTGAATCGAAATCCGTCTGTCCGTCTGTCCTCCTGTCTATTTCTACGCAAACTAGTATTTCAGTTTAAAAGCTATCTTGCCGAAACTTTCCCAAAAATTCTACGCAAACTAATCTCTCAGTTTTAAAGCTATCTTGCTGAAACTTTCCCAAAAGTTGTGTAGTTATTGCACGCAGTATATAAGTCGGACCGTGCCGGATCAGACGACTATATCGGATAGCTCCCATACGAGAGAATGAAATAAAAAATTCTCACGCTGTTGTTTTTGAGCAGAACGACTTGATTTCTTCCAGATGGCTTCTAGCTTCTTTTCTTGTTGATATTAGAATTTTTGTGCTTTAAAGTTGATAACGTTACTACTCTTTATCCTTTAACTATAGTCAATAACATAATTCAAATAATATATTAATTTAACTAAACATGAAAAAATTTAATAGCTACCTGTTGTTTTTTAATGCTAACCGACTCGAAATACTATATTTTTTTTTGACAACAAGTGTTACATATTAAAATTTAAGAACGACTTTAACCACAAGTCAAAACATGAAGGCGATTCGGAAATAAACTTTAAAGTGCAAAGAGTTTTGTATTATTGTAGAGATATAATTTTGTTTCCATTCCTTTTTTTTATATATATTTTTCGATTTAAATTAAATTTAAAATTTAATCCGAAATTCAATAGTAGTTAGAAAACAACGGCGTGAGATTAATCTATAATATCTAATGAAATCTATAGCTGCCATAGGAAAGATCGAAAAATCTATATAGAACTACCGGAAATAAAATGATAACATCGATGTTTTTTATCAGACAATCATGATTTTTGGAATCTAGACTTTTTTAGCGACTCTCGAATTTTGAATTAAATTCAATAAAAATCAGGCGACTATATCATAAAGCTGTCATATAAAAGTCGTCGAAAATATGAAAAAGAAATAGAAAAATCATCAATGACTTTCACCGATTGTTCTTAAGACGACGGTTTTATAATTTTGTTTCGTTAATTTTATAAATGTCAATGAAGTCAAATTCAAATGAAATTTTATCGTGATTTTAAAAAACATGCTTGTGTGATAATGAACAACGAGTCTATGATCTTATTTTTGACGGGGATGCTGACTAAGAGTTCATATTTTGTATGGGCTTTGAGGTGTCTCTTCCTCCTTTACTGCGTTGCACACTTCTGACTGAAAGTATAATTCCCTCTGCAAGGGTATTGAAAGTGAATTTATTTTCAAAATGTACAACAATTTGTTTCCCAAAGTTCAATTTAAGATCTCTTGCGTGCTGAAGGTGCGATTGTCACAAATTTTGATTTGATAATATTTATACTCTTGCAGAGCAAAGGCTATTATAATTTTGGCCAGAAGTTTGCAACGCAGTGAAGGACACACCTCAGACCCCATAAAGTATATATATTCGATCTAAATCGAAATACGTCTTTAGGTACGTCTGTACGTCTGTCCGTCTGTCCTCCTGTCGGTTTCTATGTAAACTAGTCTCTCAGTTTTTAAGCTATCTTGCTAAAACTTTCCCAAAAGGTGTGTAGTTATTGCACGTAGTATATAAGTCGGAATGGGCCGGATCGGGCGACTATATAGGATACCTCCCATACAATAGATTGAAATACAAAATTATAACGCCGTTGTTTTTGATCAGATCGACTTGATTTCCTCCACATGGCCTTTTTTAAATTAAATTAAATTAAATTAAATTTTATCGAAATCGGATAACTCTATCATATAGCTGCCATAGGAAAGATCGAAATTTATATATATAAATAATGAAAAATAAAATTATAACGTCGTTGTTTTTTATTCCACAAGCATGATTTTTACAACAAAGACTTTTTTAACTACCCTTGAACCGAGAAAAACATTTCATAAAAATCGCAGAACTATATCATATAGCGGCCTTAGAAAAGATCGAAAAATTTATATAGAAATACGGGAAATCAAACATAACATCGTTGTTTTTCATCAGACAAGCATAATTTTTGGAATATAGAGTTTTCTAACTGCTCTTGAATTGCATATTAAATTAAAATCGGACAACTATATCATATAGCTGCCATACGAACAATACTCGAAAATATGAAAAATTAAAAGAAAAATCGACATAGTTTCAATGTTGTTTAGCCCTTACTTATTTTGATCGACATATTTGATGACTGGGTATATAAGCTTCGGGTTGCCGAAGCTAGCTTCCTTTCTTGTTTTCTTTACACTTGAATTAGTCTCGCTTTAATATTTTTGTTTAATAAAGTTTTGGTATTATGAAGCTCTCACCTACTCCGATACAGATTTCATCATTCCGGAGGCGGCTTGAATTCCACTATCCTTACTTTTCGGCGATCAGCAGAAGCATTTTGTTCATCAGCTCGTTAGCTACAGTCTCATGCAAAGTGTTTAGTCGGGCAGCCAGGAACTCGCCGAACTTCATATAGAGCAGTTCCCTGGAGGTGGGCAGATGGCGCGCCTGGGAGTGAGATCGACCCCTTCCGCAGCCCCCGCCATCTCCAGTGTAGCTACTTTCGGAGAGTCTGCCGTCGGCGCCAAGCATGTCCGATGGACCGACAATTGGCGAGCAGTGTCCGGTCACATCGTCATCTTCGTCAAAGTCGTCGAGATCCTCCTCAAGGTCCCCAGCGTCTGCGTCGATAAGCTCGTTGTTGGCGTTGATGATCAAATGGGGCGGCGTCGTAGCGTACGCCAATGGATTCTTGGGCGTGGGTAGCTGCAGCCGTGCCTTGAGTTGCTGCTTAGTCTGCGGGCGAATGGTGGCCAGCTTCTTCCGCGTTGCCTCTGCTCCGTTTCCGGACGCCCCCTCGTCACCACCCACTTCGGGGGAGCCCGGCTCGTCCTTAATGTAAATAGAGGGCGAGGAGCTGCAGGAACGCGAACTGGACAACACCTGGGCGGGCGAGGTGTGGGGCAGAGGCGTAGCCAGAGGCTGCTTTTGTAGCGAGGTCAGCGTAACGTCTGGTTGCAGCTGGAGGGCTTGAAGATGCTGTGCCTGCTGCTGCAGGGCAGCGGGCAACTGGCTAAGACTCAGACTTAGACTAGGGATGACCGCCGGCAGACTGTTCCCTGGCACGGGCTGCTGCTGATTATTCGGGTTGTTGGGGTCGCTGGGGGCAAAGTACTGGTACTCGTCAAGGGCGGCGCTGCTGCTGTTGTTATTGCTACTGTTCCGGCTAACGTTGTTGGCACTGCTGTTGTTGACGCTGCCCGTAGGCACAGAAGCGGGATCTAGAGAGGCGAGTTTAATGCGCTCGCGGGATCTGAAAAGGGCAGTAGAGAGGTAACAATTTGGTAAACACTTGCACCTGTGAGCAGAGACAAAGAGCAGGGCAAAATCGATTCGAAAAAAAGAAATTAAAATAGCAATACGTCATTACTTTTTTAAGAAAACGTTGACGCAAATCTAAAAACTTAAAAAGGATCAGTCTTTAAAATTTAACCCTGCACAAAGAATCCTATGCTTGCTGGTTTACAGATTCGGTTGAGCATTAACTATTAATCAAAGCGTTATTAGATATTTAATAGATAAAAAAAGACATGTATGTATATTTTGGCTGCCTTGTGTCTCTGAACTGGCTAGAAGCCCTCCTTACTTGCGTTCCCGAATGACTTCCTTTAGAAAGGCCATAGCGTCATAGTACTCCCATTTCGACTTGAAGCGCGTGGTGCCCAGCATCTTCTCGTGGTTCAGCTCGCGACGAAAGATCTCGCGGAGTGAAGTGAAAGTGCGCTGCACCCGCTCCCCGTTGACGTTGAAAAGCCGGCCCAGCTCGTTCCACTTGATGGCCTTGCGCTTGTCGGAACGCTTGTAGTGGGGCAGGCGGCAGTCCCAGAGGATGGGATTGAGTCGCACAAGCTCGATGAGTCGGCGCTTCTCGATGTTGTGGCGGGAGAATGCCATGTTCCTTCGCTCTTTCAGGCACTGTTAGCCAAACTGCAACTACCAAAGAGGCCACTGCGCATGTCCCGTGTGGCGTGTGGCTGGATGCTGCGCTGCGAGGTGAGCAAGGAAGTGAAGTGAGAAAATCGTTAATATTAGCTTACGCTGACGGTCGCAATGGTCGTTGCATACTTTTCGGCGTTTTCTTGGGTGGGCATTCGAGGGGTTCGGAGGTGTTGGATTACGCACCCACGCACCTTGAGTGCAATGACCCCCGCAAGTAGGGGTGGTCTTTGCTTTTCGAAATGCTTATATGCTGAAAATTGTGCAATACAGTTTTGGGAGAATAAGCCTGATGGATGGCTGACTAGATGGGTAAATAGCAGAGAACGAATCAGATATGTAACTGATTTAATACTGACAGTTGGCAGGGAAAATGTGCTTATGCCTCTCCACCAATTAAATATTCAGTGTATACAAGTGCAAATTCGAATAAGTGACTGTTAGCTAAACAATAATCGAGTAAACAATAATAAACAATGGTGTTCTGGGTAGCCGCGTGAATCTGACTCGGCGAGAAAGCATTTACTTATGGGCTGATCGAGCGATTTCGGCATCTATAATAGATCTATGGGGAGCTGCTGAGGAAGGATTCTATTTGTAGGGGATTGCCAGGACCTCTCGCTTTCTCTAGTTCACAATGCAACCCGTTTTTCTAAAAGTTTAGCCAGTTGTTCGTTGACTCAACTTAGAAAAAGGCTGGCAGTGCAGACACTTACTAATGGGAGCACAAACAGCTAAAAATACTGACACGGAATGCGTGAGATACCAAAGTTAAGATGTTCACTTGTATTTGCACCAAATTCTTAAGTTTTTCATCGTATATTTTCCTGTTTATGTTCGATTTCACACAAAGCCGTTTGACGCCTGGCATGGAACTAAAAACCACATTTGCTCACTGTTTTGTTTACTGCTGCTGATTCCACTGTTGCTCCGGCTGCTCTTTATTAACAATATGAGCAGCAAAGTCGGGGAATTTATTTCAATTTATTTCAATTAACAACAAACGCGGCCGTCGTTCCGGCTGTTGTTGTTCTGCCGTGCTTCGTAGTTGCTGCCACTTATTGGGGATGCTGTTGTTGTGTTGTGAGAAGCTCGAGGGCCTTGCCACAACTATTGGCTGCCACAGATACAGATATTCAGCATCGCACCACACAGTCGCACTCCCTGCCAATGTGTGTATACACACACGGTTTAAGCGGGTGAACGGAGAGGGGCAGCTACTCGACAGCAACAACACACCGAATAGCGAAATCGCACAAAAACTTTAGCTACAGAGGCTACAACTTGCAATTAGTGGCACTGTTCACATTTTGGTACTTCCACTTGCCACTTTCCACTTGTCACCTCCCACTTGGCCGTTCGTTGGCAGCTTCCTTGCGGAGAGTGCGCCGCTGCTCTCCTCGGCGATTTCCACAAACGAACTTAATTTTCTTGCGAATTGGCGGCGCAGCAGCCGCCGCACAAAGAGAGCCTCCCGTGAGAGCGTAGTGAGAGCGAGAGCTCTAGCTTTTCCGCCGCGCCATAAGAGCGAGAGCGCGGGAGAGAGTCGCTGAGGCCGAGGATGCTTTTGTTGTTCTGACTGATGTAAACAATCGGGTATAGCCGAGGACTCTGCTGCCAACTACACTATGCAACATTTACAACTCGACAAAATGTAATGCATTGCAGATTTTTAGCTTCAACTTTAAACGAGGTTTTAAATATCTCAGTCATCAAAATAACGACTGAAAAACAGTTAACTTCTTTCTTTTGGTTTTTTTTAATCATTGGTAGCATATGTATGTATGCTTATTAGATTGCTTAATAGACTTAAAACAAATAAGTTATCTATTATAGGTTGTTTAATAGACTTTAAACATATAAACTATGTATCTATTATAGGTTGTTTAAAAGACTTAGAAAAACATAAATTATCATATAAACATTTCATATTTAAATGAGCTCGGCTTTGTGTCAAACTGCGAATTCAATTCACTTAAGCTCGTCATAAAAAATTTTCGAATGAAAAACCAAATTTTATTTTCTTAAAAGAAATCTTACTTTTTTCTACCATAATTAATAATTGTCTTCTTATATTTTTTTATTTGCACGTCGGAATAAAAAGTTCATGCTTGGAACAATGAAGCTACCATTATACTATTGTTTCGGTGCTTACACAGCACGTGTATAAAACAGTGTATGTAAATTTTTGACAGACAAATTCCCTTATTACTTTTTGATTTTATTCTAAAAGCTTTGAACATGTTTTTTTTTTGTAAAAAGTATTTTTTATAACCTAAGTTTTTTTTACCCAAAGCATTAAAAAAATTATCGTTTAAGAGGGGCTATCATTATGAAAGTGATAACTGCTTCTGCCCGTAAACCTCAAAGACTGTCAAATCTGAGTCTTAAAATATTTACATAGGTAAAGGCGAAAAATAAGGTATAGATATTTTTTGGAAGATAAACCTGGGATTTATGTATGTGTTTTGTGTTTTGCCAAAGAGAAGTGCAAAAGACAAGAACACTTGAAATGTCCGATTTTGTTAGACAGTGTTAGACAAGGGAGAGCACTTATCACGGCTCTGGTGCCGTTTGTGGCAGTGGCGCGTTATCACCGTTCTGTGGCGAGTGAGTAAACCGAAGAGTGATAACATTAAAGGGTCTGTCAGAGGGATTCGCTAACCATAAGCGGGACAAACAAAGAACTGCTAAGTATGTATGTATGTATGTATAGTAGAGAATTGGCAGCACCCGCGTGAATTCGATGCCAAGCAACAATTTTACGCGAAGATGAAGCAACAGCTTAGCGTGGAGAACGCCTCAGAGAGTAAGGGTTGGATTTTGGTAGCAATCTGCGGGGGAGGTGCCGTCTTGTTGTGAAGGGGGGTTTTACTCTCTCACTACCGTTAACAATGGTAGTCACGCTCTCTCCGCTCTCTTTTTGGCATTTATCATCCCACTTTGCTGCTCTGCTGATGCGGACATTTAACAATGCGAACAAACACAAGCGTTACACATACATACGTACATACATACTCGCAGGCAAACATTCAATTTGCCACTGCTGCAATCAACTTTATTACCCGCTGTTGCTCTTGTTTACTCATTGTTGTCTCCCATTTGGTCATCCGAAAAATAAGCTTTAAAAATATGCATATGTATGTATGTACATATGTACATACATACTCGCATTTATCAGTCGCACCAACACAGTCTGTCCGTGTTTTCGCTCTCCCTTCCTTTTTCAACAGAGCAACACACACCACCTCACAAACACTCTGTTTGATTTGACTTATCAATATGCGTTCTTGGCGCTGATGAATCTGCAATCGACTCGAACGCGCTCCACGGCTTAAATTAAATCAATTACTGCAATGTAAATCCGTGACACACAAATATTTTTGGAATGCCAACAAGATGTCATGGCCCTGACATATTGGTATAGGTGATAACATCGGAGTCGCGAGAGCGATGCTATAGAAATTTTAATGGCACGTTTTTCATAATAGTGAATGATAACTAGAATGATTTTTTAATCATAATTTGGGAAAGCAGACACTTTTCCATATGGGCAATTACAAAAGAATAAAATAGCCACCAAAAACGAACAAGAAATATTTAAAATGTACATACAGTCATCCCTACTTATACATAACCAAACGGTAAGATAATCACCAAATTGCCAAAACTTCCTTTCCTGATTTTTTTTAAGTACTTCGTTAAAAAAGTTTATAAATCTCCACTATCCCCTTACCTGTCCTAGAAACTATTTGAAAGATACTTGCAATAACCTGTCGCTTGCATATCAAAATGACTTTCATTCAAACAATTTCAGCTTAATTTATAAAAAGTTTACATTTGTATTCGAAAAGTTAATGGTTTAAATTTATATACATAATTATATTATAATTATAGTTTTTGATATTAAATAATATTTAGCATATATTATGTTGTATCAATTTTTATTATTTGGGTCGAAACTTCTATATTCATTTGTCCTAGCAGAGGGAAGCAAACTTGTCTATATGCTTCAAAGCTATCACATCGCAACATAACACAAAATTAAATAATTATTGCAGGTAGTATTTATGTCAGAACGCTCCGAATGTCATACGCTCCCAAAAGAAAGATCGTACAAATTACAACACCAACGTTATATCCTTGCAGAGGGTATTGTAATTTCATTCAGATGTTTTTATCGCAGTAAAAGAAACATCTCAGGAATCTTGAGTTTGTAATAATGATGATTTTATCATATACCTGTCATATGAAAAATAAAAAATCTTTACCATGAATTTTTTTTCGGCGTTAGGCAATTTGTTCCAACAATAGATATTAAGAGGTTAGCCCACTCACTAGGCAGAGTCCAATGAAATAGGCAGTTTTTAAGATTTTTTTCAGAAATTCTACAAAAATGATCAAGATTATGAATAAGAGAATTTATTATTCATATTAGTGACCATATAAAATTTGACGTTTCCGTAATATTAGGGCCCAAAGTCGGACAAGAAACTAGTAAAAATGTTATGTAATTAAATAAGTCCATATATTTTTTGATTTTATAAAATAACTGCTATAAAAGTACGTAGGATAAAAAGCCTTCGTACTTCTACTAGACAATATCTTTATCAAGATGAAAATCGACTATGTTTGTTATGTATGTGTTCAAGAGATCAGATAGCCTAGTACAAAAATTCGGCAACCTAGTAACGGAGTAACTTAGGGTTTTTCTCAGCCACAATTTGTTGGGACACCATATTTGGGTCCTTGGCAAACGTTAAAACATAAAGAAAAATAAACGATTTTTTCAAAATTTTAAATTGGAATGCATTTTCACCAAAATCAAACTACTATACCGTATAGCTGGCATAGAAAATAACGAAACATCTAAATAAAATTAATTGATAAAAAATGATAAAGTTTTTTATCACACGAGTATTCGTTTTCGGCGTGAGATTTTTTTATTTCATTCTCTTGTATGGGAGCTATCCGATATAGTCGGCCGACCCGGCCCGTTCCGACTTATATACATCGTACAATAACTACACAACTTTTAGAAAAGTTTCAACAAGATAGCTCTAAAACTAAGAGACTAGTTTACATAGAAACAGACAGGAGGACAGGCGGACAGACATACAGACGTAAAAATTTATAACGTCGTTGTTTTTTATAATTTTTTTGTCATTATTTATATATATTTTTTTAGATCTTTTCTATGGCAGCTATATGATATAGTTATCCAATTTGGAAAAAAATTTTATAAGAAATTCGATACTAGTTAAAAACACCATCTAGAAGAAATCAAGCCGGTATGAAAGGAGAAAGTAATTGTGATTAATTCCAAATGCAGCATTTACCACTAACTTGAGAGAATTCAAGAGGCAAAACAATTTACAAAGGGCATTGCTATAATGGCGCCCGACAACTTGAAATAGATGCCCAAACTTATTGTTAAGCAATTATTCCACTTAACTAATTTCATGGGACTGTTAAGTCATGTTCATGTTACATGAAAATCGTACCACATTGGACTCTATCTGTGACACGTATCTCAAGTTTAAAGAAGACTTGCATATAGTGGAACGTCAATTAATGAAATCAATCCGATAAATATCAATATCACAACCTGGTTCCCGCGGATGCCCGGTTCATTTGGCTAAACGTCAACAAGATGCCTCCAGACGTGTGTGGATTAGGCAGAGCGAGTCGCTTCAGATATTTTCCAAATGGATTTTTAATGGATACAGTGGGCAAAGTGCTAGCGAAGGAAGTAGGAAACGAGAAAGTCGGCGAGAAAATCTCCGTAAAAGCAGATAAGCAGCAAATTGTGAGCCCCTGCAGCCGGAATGCGACCCCCAGCTGTTCCCCAAGTTCCCAGCGCCCCGATCTCCCCACCTTGCTGAGCCTATCGGCTTATGAGGCGAACGGACTCAAGCCTCTTTTGCCTTAAATACTTCACCTCAATTTGCCTGCCTCGGCTTTGAATTGCTTTGCCGCAAACGCAAAGACGCAAATGGCAACTGGCAAATGCTATACGGGTATGCTCACTCTTAGGAGACGAGGACCCGACCTGGGTCAAGCTGCAGCTCGGTTATGCCCAGGTCGGGTACCATAATTTTAAATATTTCATAAGTTTGCGCTCGAAAAGTTTTTGCTTGGGCGGAAAGTTTCTGCATCGGGTGTGTGTTTGTGTGTTTGACTTTGACGGTTCCTGTATGCTCTTGTTGCTGCTGCTTTTGGGCCAATCGCTGCTAATTGGGTCTGCCAGGAACGAGCCACACAAAATATTTTTTCGGCTCTGACCTGCCCATTAAAATAGTGCACAAACGGTTAAAGAAGAAGGGTAATTAAGGCTTCCGTCCCAGCTAAAAACATCTCTCTTATATTGCCATCTAAATTTTCAATATGCTCTTGGTGAGCCAATGAAGATGTTTTATGGACAGACACTCATATATCTTATTATTGCTGCTCAAAATTTCTTGTATGGCGAAAAACAACGAAGCTATATTTTTTCCAAGCCATAACTTCTTTTTTTTTTTAAAGTCCCTGGAGCTAAATGAGGCCTGTAAAAACTCCTTTAAAGCTTATTTCAATCTATTACCTAACGAATACTCAACTTGAACTCGTTGATAGCCTTTTTGGCCACGGCCAGCCACCAAAAGTCAAGCGCTCAATTACGTAACTTTATGTTTGGTGCACAAAAAATGTTTTATTTACTCTTTTCCAGCTGCTTTTGGCCCGTTCCTAGTTTCGGACCAAGAGCCAAAAGCCAAGAACCGAGAACCTAGTTCTGAGAGAAACTACTGGGACTGCTACAATATTGTAATTTGGCTGGCAGTCCGCAAAGCCAACTAAAGAAAACAAAGAAATCAGAGGAAAATCAACTTTGTGCAAATAAATGCAAAATAATATTACGAAAAGTTGACCGTAAAAAGATGCCGGCCCAGTCAAGCGAGTGGAGCTGGCGAGGAGTCGTTGCACTCGGAGTGCCTGCTCCCACCCCCTGCACCCCCTGCACCCCCTGCACTCCCTGTGCCCCAAAGGAACCCACTTAATTTCGAAATAGAATTGTGCCCTCTTGGCAAGGCCAGAAGTTTTTCGCTTGCCTTTCGCCCATTACTTGGCCATTGATTTCAATTCCGTTTCGCCCATTGGCCTCAGCACCCTTCCCACCGCAACCGGTTTTTCCATATGGATTTTATTAAATGTGCAATTTGGGAATATGTTAGCTTTGATCCCATTTATGGGCTCTTAGATTTCGACTCGCCGGAAAAAATGCAGGGTTTCAACTGATTTTCGTGAATACATTTTATTATTCCATATGCTGAACAACTGAAGGTCTTAGTATTGGGGAAAGAAGAGTGGAAAAGGGCAGTTGGGAGACCCAACCTCTCGAGTGTACTATCAGGATCAATTTGGTTCAATGTGCCTAGAGTCGGGTCAGAGGCCTAGTGGCGGGCTCGGAACCTCAGCCTGCGAACGGTCTTGTAGCGGTATCCGTCGCTGGCCAGCTCGGTACCCTCATCGGCGGCGGCCTTGGGCTCGGCCTCGGCGGCCACGGGGGCGGCGGCGGCGGTGGCAGCCTCGGCGGGTGGCAGATACTCTCCGTTGGGGGCGGTCTCATCGGCGACCTCGCGGCGGTGGCGACGCAACTTGAGTCGGCGCACGGTCTTGTAGCGGTAGCCGTCGTCGGCCACCTTGGTGTCTCCGATGGCGGCGGCGTCCACGGGCGGCAGGTACTCCTGGCTGGGAGCGCTCAGCACCGGCGGCAGGTACTCCTGGCTGGGCACCTCGCGGCGGTGGCGCAGCTTCAGCCGGCGCACGGTCTTGTAGCGGTATCCGTCCTCGGAGAGCGCGGCTGCCTCCGCCTCGCCGACGGGCGGCAGGTACTCGGCGGACGGCTCCAGAGCGGCATTGGAATCCGCTGACTGAGCGGCGGCAAAGGCAACTAGGCAGGCGGTGAGGGCGACGACGAAGAGTTTCTGAACAGAAATATAATATTAATTAATAATGGATCAAATAAGAAAACATAAATTGAGAATTTCATAATATCATTTTAGGAATATTCTGAAAGCTTTGTTAAAAGGATATGAAGCAATCCACTGTGGATTTTACAGATTAGAGGCAAAAAGCACTCACCATTTTGAAGCTATAGTTCTTAACGAAATTGGCGAACTTTTTGATATGACTGAAGATGTTGCTGTGTCGGAGGTATTGAACCCAATGATACTTTGCTCTAAATCGACCAGCGTCTTTATAGCCAGACTTAGGCCGGCTGCTGGAATCAAGTTTTCATATCCAATCTCAATGGTAGGTGGAACTCGGCCGGTAGAAGAAATCATAGCCGCCGAGTCGAGTGCTCATCAGAGCCAACATCGAGCTCTATTAACCACTTAAGCGATGATGTTGACGGTGGCTCTGGTTTTTGATTGCCGAATTTGTCGATCCGCATTCGGTCTGCACTCGAGCACAATTATTTTTGTTTCTAAAGTTAGCTGTTGAGTGTCTCCCACATTCGTGTGGCAGCGATGACTCGTGAGTGCTCGATGGAGCCAATGTGAAAAGGCCTTAAGGTAGCCATTGGCAAATGAGCTACACATCGCTATCGCTGAGTTCTGAGTCCCTCCAGCCGTGTTTCGGCCACTTGTGGCAGCCACTTCACAAGTTCTTCGCTCAGATTATGCTATTATTTTGGTCATGCTCGTAAAATGTGACCTTGAAAACGAAAACATGCTTGGCAAATTTGTTTCCTGATGGCTAGAGAGGCTCTCAAGCTGACCAAGTGGTGAGAGATTTTTCTGACTCCGTGAGATCATCCCTCAACATCTATTTCGGTCCTTCCCACTTTGGTATTTCTGGCAACTTTCAACTATTTATAAAGCTCCTCAGGCACCGACTAAATGGGCTGATGCATCCGTCCGTAGCATTTCGAACAGCACTTGACAAACACAGACAACAAGCAAATATAAATGATGACAGCGACAATCGGCAGTAACAATAATACGCAACTCTGCCAAAAATTATGCATTGATGCTCTCGGCATTTAATTGTCCCTTTCCCTGTCCCATCGTCCCCTCCACTCCAATCACTTGATTGCCGGATAAAGCGAGTGCTGGAAGCCGACTGGACACCTTCGTGGGATGTGTTTTGCATTAAAACGAAATTAAATGGATGCAGCTGCGATATTGGCCCTGTTGATACTGTCATTGTTGTTACAAGCCATGCTGCTGGTGAATATTTAATGGGAATCGAGGAGATTTGGCGGGAGCGTGGTGGCTACCGCTTGAAATTGACCATACCCGGCTTTGTGGACGGTTTTAAACAACCTTTAAAATATCTGCGTGCATCACGGATTGCAGTTTGTATTTCCAATTATTTTAAAATATTTTTTATATATTAAAATAATTAAATATTTTTAAGAGTTAAGAAAATCGTTTGGGTTAAGCTACCAATGTAATAAAATCCCACAGGCACAATTGCTTTGTGTTTTAAAATGAATTGGTCGACGTTATGATTTTTGAATTTAAAGCAGAGTGGAAAAATAGTTATTCTTAGGACTCAAAAATGTAATTTTAATAAATAAAGTATTGCGGTATTTAAAATCAACTTCAGCTGAAGTTTTGCTCCGTTCGCTTAGTTTCCGAATCAGGCCAAATGGAAATCTTGCTGCGGCCTTAAACGAAATAAACGAATTTAAGCGGATGGCTCCCTCGCCGCCTTCTCGCATTATCAGCTTGTGCGTGGGCCCATGTCCCTTTGCAGGCGGCAATCAGCTGATGGGAAGGGGAAGGGCAAATGGGGGCCATGTGTGCGCACTCCTTGCCTTTGACATCGCCGACTGCCATGGTAATGTGTCATTATATTAAAAGCTTTGCAAATACGCCACCTACCGGCCAAAGGTTGTGCAGCCTCCACTGTCCCGCCCCCTCACAAACATTGGCCCACCACCCACCGCCCACCGCCCACAGCTGAAGCAAGTACCGCAGCGCCGGCCGGGCTGAAAATTTCATTAGCGTTTCTACTTTGTGGCTGTGTTGTGTGCGCTCATAAAACTAAGATGCCAGTGGGAATTGGCCGTAGGTTTGTGTGCGCGCCTGTTTGTGTGTCTCCTTCAAATGCAGCCAGCAAAGTAGGCAATTAATTTGTTAATTGGCGTGAATATTGTTAGTCAAATTGATGGCAGTTGACGAACAGGGCCGAGGACAAGCTGCTGAACGAGCCATTTCCGGGGCAAATTGAGTTCTGAGTTCGCACTGGCCAGTGCAACGGACTAATTTGGTCAGTTGAGTGGATTTGGGCAGTCGAAGCCAAAATTGTATTGACGGAGAATTGGCGGTGCTGATGTTGGAGGCGGTTGGGGAGGGGGCAAAGATATGAAATTTGGTTTCCATTAGGTGTCCTCGTGCGGAGCTATCTCTGAACTGATTTAGCCATGTGTCCCTTAAATCCCATTTATGTAACCCTTTAACGGCGCCATTATTTTCCTCGTTACATGCGAACCTTTTACCTTTCCTCTTCGACTGCGAATTTGCATACGAAATTTTATGCATCCTTTCTGGGCAAAAGCCACGCGCATTGTTTTTACGTTTGCCACATATCGTTGATATTTTTGTTATTGTCCATAAGCCCATTTTATGGGCTTTTGATCTTTTCATTATGGTCATCAAAATACACAAAGTCCGGCTCTGCCCCACCAACGTGTCTTTTTATAACTGTCCCTCATCCCGCTGATTTGATTTACACAAAAGGCCAAATGCGATTTCACGGCCGTGTTGGCTTTTCACATGTTTGTTGGCGATGCTGTCATAATCAAGAGGTGCGAGCCGTGCAACAGTGCGTATTATAAATTTGGTTAAACGGCTCGCTGCGTCAACGATTCTGGCCAAAACTAAAATGCGCTTTAACCAACCGCATCTGCAAATGCAAGCGAACGCCCGTGTGTGACATATGTACACGGCCATTCAGCCCAAGCCTGCGTTTGTTTTGTCATCAGGCACCTGCTGTACGTAAATAAATAGAGAAACCGGCGTATTTATTTAGTAGCCGAAGCCTATTTTGGGGACACTTAAAAAAAGCACCACTACATTTGGTAAATGTTAATTGAAAACAGATGTACAGGCACGTGGATCATCATTATCCCCAATGCCACAACTGCGAGCTTTCGAAACTGGCCGAGTGTTCCAGTAGTCCTGTCTATTAATTTCGTGTCCTTGCTTGTAGCACCTGTCACCGTGGTTGTTTCTACCAACATCCGGAGTATCATCATTACTACCGCACGAAGGGTGGCCCGAACTTCCGCCCTTTTTTCCGCCTCGCTTAGCATATGCAGAAAATGTCCCTTTAATTCGCCAAATCCCTCGCTGCCGTCCATTCCATCCTTTGGGCAACCGTTTTTTGCCCCGGTGCCCTGGTCGATGTCAAACAATATTTATGTACTAGGCGCCTTCGCTTTTGCACTCGCATAATGCGTGGATTATTTTCTTAATTGATGTCGATCGGCCTATAACTGCACAACGCTCCGCACGCGAAATTTAATCTTTAAAAACTGTGCCGCGCTGTGGTTGTGGAAAATTTATTCGCGCTAAAAGTTAATTTGATTTTGTTGACCGCATGTACAATTTTGAACTATTTGACTTTGACAAAATTGCGGATTCGAATTGCATTGAGCAGGCGTAGTGCAATGCGGATGGGCGGCCAATGAACACAGTAACCAGAGTCATTAGCAATTTCGGATTTTATTCTATTTTGTAAATTGAAAATTCCAGTTAATTGGTCTGCAGCATGCTGGAGAGGACAAACGAACTCTTTTGGCTCCTGGTTCGACGAAACAATTCGAAAGGCTAAAAAAGGAATCTGACAGGGGTGAAATAAAAGAGCAATCCGAAGGGCTGTCTCCTTTTAATTAAAAACAAATAAATAATTGCAACCCCAACGAGCTTTCGGTAGGTCGCAGCCTACAATCGCTGGATCCCGGCATTCCTAACTCGCCTGGTTTAGTGATAGGTTCATGAAAAATGCATACAACTCAATATCCGGTCGGCTCCAGAGCCCAGCTCTCCATGGCACGTTTCGCTTCCTGCTGCAGTTTACAGGATTAAGCACTTAACAACAATTTTACGCACGCATTTTAAATTAATTATGCATTATTTATAAATAAATAAAATGCACACGCAGCGAAAACTTTGCAAATGATGTGCTGGCCTCCCCCGGAACCCCGGAACCCCTCGTCCCAGAGGCCCTCTATCGCTGCACCACGAGCTCCCCCCGGGATGTTGGTGGAATGTTGGGATGTTGGTGTTGAAAGCCGCAGGACGAACATGTTGCGCTTAAAATACTTTGCTAATTTTTCGCTAATATTTACCAGGTGGACTGGCGCCGGGGGAGCCCCAGTGGCCGCTCCCCTCCTCGTCCGATGTTGCCTGGTTGCTGTGCTGTCTCTGGTCGTTTGGTTTGGTTTGTCTGCCTGTCGGAAATAACAAATATTTAAACGTATTTAATTAAAACTCACAAATGAAACCGCAAACGCAGAGTGCGCCCAACGAGCGCCTAAAATGGCAGGCCACTCTTGGCGCTAATCCCGGTTCCCATCTCAGCCATATATTGTTTATTTATTTAGCTTTCGCTGCAGCTCGCGTGGCATCGCACCGGATACTTTTAGGCTGAAATTTTATTTGAGCTCCATTGTAACGCAAATTGCGCTGCATACTCGGAAGTGCTCGCGGCGAAGCGTGGGTTTAGTGAATCGATAAAATGAAAATTGCATCCGCAGAGCCAGCAGAATATGGCCATTTAATGCGGATTGTACAGACATATCGGCCGCACGACAGCGTTTACACCCGGCAGATACGAATCTGGCATGTAGAAGTGCCAATCTCTGATAGGTACATAATATTTACACTCGGACTTGTGGGCGTTAAACCGAGCCCTACTTTCGGGGTCGCCCCAACAGCGATCGCAGGGCAGGCCTTTAAAGCACACTTTAAAGCGAACTCTGAGGGGTCTATTGGCCACAAACCTGGGGAGTGGGCGGAGAAGCGAAAAGAAAATTCAGCAGATAAGCTTATGCTCGCCATTGCTCACATAGCAGCGTGTGAAAAACTGCATTTTTCCGCACATGTGCGCAGCAAAGACACAAAAGTCAAATTACAATTCTCTCTCGCAATATCCTTTCTGCCCCCGCCCACCCCGCCATGCCACGAAAGCATTTGATATGCTTTTAAAGTGCATAAATTAGTGCTGGGAAGAGATTGAAATAGAAGGGGTTAAGGGAAAGCCGGACAAAACAATTGTATTTTCTCAGTGGACGCCTTTGTGGACCATCCAGCGATGGCAATCCTCCACTTGGCATATTCAGGATCCCGGCCCACCCATTCATATGTGCTGCCAGTGTGTGTTTGTTTGCATTATCCGAGCAACTTTTGTCTGGCTTTTTGGCTCGGAGCTGCGATTTTTTCGACCCGCCCCGACTATTTACTCTTGAAGTTTTCCAAGGCTTAGAAATTAGGGGGAGCGGAGAGGACAACAAGAGGGGAGGAGCCGGCTGGGCGAAAAAAGGGGCCAGATTCTTTGCCATTTAACTAAGCCGGTTAGCAAACAGAGTGGATTCTGGAGTTGGACTCTACGGCAAACCCAGTCCGAGTTGCCAAAAAAGCATAAAGAAACACGCTTGCACAAGCCCATGCAGAAGTTCTGACTTAGGTCCTTGGTCGCTCCGAAGAAGTAGAAATCCAAAGGAATGGAACCCGAGGAGCGACTGCAGCAGTCTCTGGATAAATATTTATGAGCGCCAGCGCCCATTCCTCGGGAATGGGGACCTGAGGATTTGTCGGGGCTAACATCTCAATTAAATGTACTAAACACGTTATGTTGAACATCATTGCATTTTTAATAAACGAGAAAGGGGCGAAATTCGTTTCTGGTTTCTGGTTTTGGCTAATAATAACAAATGTGGGGGCTTAGCAGCTAAAGAGCTTAAACACTAAGTGCGGCCACGGCAGTGCGAACTGCACGCGTATCTGCGGTGGCATAAAATAGTAAGATACAAAACTCATTTTAAATAACGACAATAATTGTGACAAATATACAAATATGCGACCAATATTACTCTATATATATAGGTATATTTACAAATATCACAACAAATAGGGCATTGCGGCGGAATCGGGTGGCTAAAAGTTGGTTAAAAGTGCGCTAAAAGGTGGGCAGGGGTGAAATGGTAAAATAGAGTCTGTTTTGAGCTCTCTCTAGAAGTCCTGAGGCGCAGAGAAATAACAGAACCGCACGGCCGAGGCAATAAGGGCCGCCAGGGTGCAGATCCATTTAATTTCCATACGCAATCTATTCATCTCTCTCGCATGAACGTGCTAGCCAAGAAGGCAGAGGAGTCCTTTTCTATTCAGAGGGTGATGCCGAATCGAATGAAGTTCAGAAGTAGCTGGGGGCTATAATACTTTGCTGGGGCCGCTGGTGGCGTCTACAGCTTCTCGGAGAACTCGTATGGCGGTGGTCGCCGGCCATTCTCCACCTTGGAGTCCGGCTCGAAGGCGGGGTTCTCGTGCTGACCCTGGATCTGCATCGCGTTTGCCGCCACCTCGGCGCGGTTGAGGGTCCTGGCAATCTGCGTGGAGTTGCGCAAGCCGTAGCAGAAGTAGATCACGTAGCCGATAACAATCCAGATGAGGAAGCGGATCCAGGTGTTCAGGTCCAGCTGGAACATCAGGTACAGGTTCGCAAAGACACTGAGGCAGGGCACGAACGGCACGAGCGGCACCTTGAAGGTGAGCTCGATGGTGGACACCGGCTGCATGCCGATCACCACGCAGATGAGGATCAGCAGGGCGCCCACCAGACTCAGAGCCACGATCCCGCCTGTGCTGTCCAGGTCGAACACCTTCTGGAAGGAGCACCACACCAGGCAGACGATGGCAAACACGACGATGCCCACCTTGGTGATGGCCGAGGTCATCGAGTTGGGTTCCCGGAAGGAGTTGCCGTTGAAGAACTGTCGGAACACGTTCGGAGCCTTCACGGACACCAGCTTGGTCATCTCCTCGTCCTGGTAGCGCAGCACTAGCACGCAAATGGCCACGATGGTGTAGGCCAGAAGCGTTCCGATCGACATCATGTCCACAAGCTGGTCCAGATTGAAGAGCAGGGCCATTATTGCTGCAGGGGAAAACACAAGAGATCAGTGGTCACCCGGAGGAGGGACACCGGCTTGGGCTACTCACATGCAAAGATGCCGGACACAACGGTGGCCAGCAGCGGAGTCTTCGTGTAGCTGTTCACCGTGGACAGCTTCTTGAACAGGATGCCGTCCTTGCCCATGGCGTAGAGGATGCGCGGCAGCGGGAACATGGCGCCCAGCAGACTGGTGCACAGCGCGAACACAGCTCCGATGGTCACGATCCACTTGATGGTGTACCACTCGACGGCGTCGAAGGCGTGCGGGAAGGGGGCATCCTTGTCCTGCAGGTAGTAGGGCAGCATCATAGTCAGCACCGTGGACACGCCAAAGTAGGACAGGAAGATTATGATCAGCGAGATCACGATGGAGAGCGGGATGTTGCGCTTCGGATTGATAGCTTCTTCGCCCGTGGTGGCAATGCAATCGAAGCCCACGAAGCCGTAGAAGCACTTCGCAGCTCCCGCCATGACTCCGGCAATGCCAAACGGCATAAAGCCGCCCTTGCCGAAGCCCTCGGGGACATCCTTTTCTGGGATCCGCCAGTTATCGGGGTCGGCGTTCATGGCCCCGGCTACCAGGACGATGGCGATCGTGACCAGGTTGACGGTGGTGAAGATGTTGTTCAGGAAGCTGGACTCCTTGGCGCCGAAGGCCAGGATGGCCGCCAGCAGGAGAACCATGCCGAAGGACAGGAAGTCAGGGTAGTCGCCCAGGAAGTCCACGTCGATGTGCATTGACTCGTTCAAGGCCTTCGACATGTCGTTGTTGATCAGCGAGTCGAAGTAGCCGCTCAGACCTCGGGCCACGGAGGCCGTGCCAATCACGTACTCCAGGATGAGGTTCCAGCCAATGGTGAAGGCCACAAACTCGCCGATGGTTACGTAGCTGTACACGTAGGCACTTCCCGCCTTCGGCACTCGGGCGGCGAACTCCGCGTAGCAAATTCCAGCGAAGGCGGACGCAATGGCCGCAATCAGAAAGGAAATGGTCACGGCCGGACCCGCAATGTTGTAGGCCACCTGGCCGGCCAGGACGTACACGCCCAGACCCAGAGTGCTGCCCACTCCCAGGGCAGTCAGGTCAAACAGGTTCAGGACTCGCGCCAGCTGGGACTCGCCTTCGTTTACGTCCTCCGTCTTGCGACGAGTCAGTGATTTCCACAGATTGATCATGGCTGGGGAAAACGAGTGGGAAGACAGTTCGGTTAGGTGATGTCCAAAATCCCAACAAAAAGCATATCTTATCGCGTTTCTTGTACTTCAAAGCGGGATGGCAAGCACTTTAGGGTTTATTTAAAGTTAAACAAAAACAAACGGCTAAGAGATTTATTTATAAGACTCTTTCCGCTAGATATTTAAGTTCGCTGACCCAACAGAAATTATAAAGAAACTTTCTAAATGTTTGGTTTGGAATTCCAGTACAAAAAAATATTATTTTATACATATCAAGTTAGTGCGTTCTAGATTTATCATACCCATTCAATCGGCAGTGCTGGTTAAAAGAAACAGCTGTATTAATAAACGTAGTCCGGACACAATCTGAGTTCAAATTTATTTATTTTACTTATATATATATTTAATATATATATATATTTAACTTTTATATATGTATATATGTTTACATAACACATATATATTTTTCTTATCTGTGCATCGAATATTGAATGAATTTGGTACTCTAAACTGGTCCTGTAGAGTGCAATAACTTGTGTTCTTATAATTAATGGTTGTTGAATTGCGATTGTCATTGGATTTTTTTTAACTTTTTGGATTTCATGTGCGTTATACAAGAAGTACACAGAAATACATTTTATGGTATTTTTTTCAGATTTTGAAAAGCCTTCTGTTATATAATTTAAATTCATTTATACAGATATGCAATATATTGTATTTTAAAAGGTTCCGAAACAACCGATTTTTTATATATTAAAATGCGATTTTAATGTATACATAAACGTATGATTTTCATTAACAAATTATCTTCAAAATATTTTGAATTGAATTCAAACATGCGTGTAAAAAAATATATAGCCCTAATTTTTAAAAGTGTTTTTTTTACATATAAGAACCTCGTATAAACCTGAAAACCCCTAGCCCTATTTGGAACAGCAGTAACTCAGGCATTTAAAAAAACTTACACCATTCATCACCAAAAAATGGTGCAATTAAAATGTCACTTTTATTGTTTGTTTTAATTTGATTTTTCCCCAAGTATGTTTTTCATCTGCAAATTTGCGACTCTTAGAATCTATATCTGGTCATTTTAATATTCTAGGTAAGATTTTATAATCTTCACAATTTCAGTTGGTTTGCAAATCGTGATTTTTTTCCGAAACTTTACCCCTAATGGTTTTAACAATTGTTTAGGTTTGACTTAATTTAATGGGCAATTGTTGTCTGCACACCATAACCAAACTAACTTTTGGAATTTGAATTTAATAGGGCAAAAAATGTGCTACTAAAACTAAAGCGACTACTACATTTTTTTTATACCTTCTGCAAAATTAATAGCCTTGCCAAAGAGCAATTCTTCAACTAAAAATCGACAATAACGATTATTTCTAGTGTCAATAATTATATTTACAACCTTGTGGCCCATATCAGCTAACAACTCTTTGACTAATTTCTCATTATTTGGCTTTACTCAACCCCCATCGAGCGATAAGCCATCTTTAAAGGCAGTGAAGCACGCGCCAGGCATTATCTTATCGGGCACGGTTCGATGTAGAAAAGCCAGATTAACACGCGAAATCGGTGTAAAGGCAAGGACCAATTGCTGGTCAAGAGGACTCTTAGATTTCGAAGGTAACAGTCGAAAGTCAGCCTCCATTCTTTCGAGCATCGAGATAAGATTTCGCTGTTTTCCGTTCGAAAGTGCGAGTGGTTATAGCCAATACTTGCACTGATATCTGAAACAAGTTTCTACTGCCTTATCTATCTTCTGAAGGCTGTCAGCTGGACTATAAAAATAAGTTGTTGGTTGTGAATATTAATATTAAGTTATATCGTGTGGGAACAAATCAAGTATTCTACTATATGCATAGATTTATGGTATGTGTCGCTAAAATCCAATTAATTACTGAGGCACAGCATGTCAAGCCAAAAAGATTCTCAAACCAAACAAAGAAAATCGTTTTCTTATGGCAAAGAGCAACAAGATATAAAAAAATCGGCTATGCGACATATAAGGTAAATTAAAAAAAAAAACGCATTTTGACTTCAAAGCAAACTATTCCTTTATCACGCAGCGATGGCGTGACTTTTTATTTTTTGCAGGTTAAATTTGAGGCTCTTCTTTGATAAAAAGCTTCTTCGGTCTGGTTGCAATTATAAATTACACAATTTTATTAGCTCGGCATTAAGTTTACGATCATTCTCTTTGCTCTTAGCCTGATTGGGGAATTAGCCCTGAAGATAAGAATCGCGTATTTTCACACCACCAAACACATAGTCCCTGCCGTATATACAGTGTGCTGGCTGCATCCCGCCTCCTTGAATTCACATACTTTTCCTCTTTGTTTTTCGCGGGCTTAATCAAATGGGGGACCGTTTCACTTCGGGCTCACTCAACTCTCAAAGTACTGACAAAAATAAGTGCCGTTCAAGTTACCGCGCGCGACGCGCTCCAAAGTGTTTCTGATCGTCGTGTGCTCCGGCAGATCGGTTAAAGCTTTGGTTTTCGCCTTTGGCCGACTCGTCGGCAGATTGTTAACAACTTTTTCCCAACGAAACGAGAGTTACGCTGCCCTGGGTTTCCGGTTCAATCCGATTCGCGCCCGAGGGCACTTTATTTTCGGAGCAATCGGATCGGCCGAGATTCGGATTCGGAGACGCGGACTTGAAGCCGTATGTTGAACTCGGCCAACAACTCCCAGTTACATAAATACGACACCTGATAGCCGGTGTTAGCAGCTGCATTTGCCTTACCGCCCTGACGTCACCGCGATAAGCTATTCTCGCCCGCCGCTCGTGCCATTGATTAGCCCACATCCATTTGGGGTTTTTTGGGCGACTTTCAGCTCCCCCGCACACCGCACCGCCTTCTGTGGGCACTTTTGTACGCCAAAAAATGCGAGTCGGCGAGTGGAGCTTTGCCGCCGATAGCCATGAGGTTTTAGCAGCGGACTAGCCGTAAACGAAATGCCTGCAGGTCGCTCAGAATGCAAGCCGTCGAACGCGCGTGACAATGATTGCGATCGCCCGACGTTCGACCTTGACCCTGACCCAGTTGGGCGGCCAACTCCAAGCCGAACGATACAAAAAGAGTTCTGGAAGCACCTGACATCTGCGCCGTTTGTCTGCTCAGCTGGGCTGTGGCTTCGCGATAGAGAAACACTCTCTGCGGGCTCGCGGAATGCCTTCTCGCACACGGCTTGGTTATTTTCCATACGTCGGCTTGGAGGGGCGGCTCTTCAGCCAGTCAATGCGAGTCGCCAGTCAATTTAAAACCATCACTGGCTTGCCTCTGGGCCCAATATCTCGAATTCCGATGGACTAGAGTCCATGACCAATGACTTGTCAAAACGCTTCTGACTGCGTGGACTGGGCCCCAAAAACAGAGGAGACCGGCTCTTGAAGGGGCGGAGGTGGCGGCTGGGGGCCAGTCAAACTCGAAAAACAAATCTCTGAGCCGCAAACACCTCGAATCTCGTTTGGCCGTCCATAGTCCAACTGTAGGCCTACTTTTCTGCAATCATGTGAATCTCGAACCACGATTGCATGGCTGCCAGTGTAACTCGAGGCGGTGGGCGGGACTGACTGACAACAGACTCCCAGCGTCTCTATTTGATGTGTCATTAACAGCCATCCGCAGCCGTACCACTCTTCTCAGCTCTCGGCGAGACATTTTGACGTCAGATGGTGGCTTGTGACGTCACGCTGCCTGATGGTCGCCAGAGGTGGAGTAATTGATCGCTAATTTGATTCGATTGCCTGCAAATATTTAAACTATCCATTGACCGCCGATAAACATTTTCACACCTCGACTAGACGTCTCTGTCCATGTAGGAGATTTGGATTTTGGCCGGATAGACGATCGCCCATGCCCCCAAGCATTGTCAACACGATAGCGCCACTTTGCGGCGATTTGGAGCAGCTGTCGGCGATATCGTTGGGATTGTGGAATGTGAAATTGGTTTATGATCCGCACAGTATATTTGCCTTTAATTTACGACCCTTCAACTGGGGTCTCGGGTTTACGGTTTTGCCTCGATTGCGTTCGGCGGTTAGAACTGAATACCCTGAATAGCCGGTCGACCTGCCCTCGTGAAAACACTTTCCCAAGCTCTTGAGCGGCTTGCTCGATGGAAACTCAATAAATACTTTCTTGGCCACTTTTCACTACTTTATTGCCCACAATTGGCAAAAGGACTGTAAATATCTTCTCGATTTTATTTCATCCTTCCTTTCTAGATGCGACCACAGCTTGTTTATAGCGACTCCCAGACGGCCCATAAAAATTTGTCAAATTTTATAATCCCGTGAGTTCTGGAGCATACACACACATTTGTTATCTTTCTCCGACACTGGCAGATTAATCGCTCGAGAATTTTTGGGCCGCGAAAATCCAGGGGGCTAGAAGGGGCACTCATGCGTTGGCTTAGTGCAAAGTCGGCCTCACTGTGTCGGCGGTGCCATATAATTTCATTCGCCTAATATCTGATGCAATTAAAGTAGGCCCTCATCCATTTGGCAAGACTCGCGATAAGAGATAACTGCACTGAAGAAAGCAATTCCCATGCTATATTTGAGCCGTTTAGCCGCGACTCGTGAGTTCACCTGATAACAGAAAGTGTTGTCGTGTCACTATCTCCACAATAATCTGACACGGCGTTTATCAATTCTTAAGAATAGGTGGAAGACATTGAATGAGAATTTAAAAAGAAGGGAGAAGAGCCCCTTCACTCCTTTAGTCTAATTGAGCTTTCACACAAGTTCTCTTCACTTAAAAGTATTCTTAGGTTTGGTTTCTCATTATCAACTGTTTTCGGGAACACAGGCTGATTCGACACTTATGAATGAATAGTCTGACAATGAACAGAAACTTGATTGATTGGCCATTTTGCGACATCAAAATAAAAAAATATTATAACGAGTTATCGCGCTCGGGAGAAGTGCCGAGATTATTATATTCCACCTTTTTAGCTAAGCAACCCCAAGGCGGAGCTTAATTACTCGGAAGTCAGTGAACTCGTTAACTTTTTCGGTTGTTTCAAAAAGTTTCAATGTGCCTGGGGAGAACATTTTGCATACTTCATATTCTAACTAATTTTAATTAGCCAGCGAAGGTGGCAGCGGCGGTGGGATTTGGGAGGCCCACCTGCCTATAACAATGGGTTCTGTTTTAATGCGGCTTGTTGAGTACTCAGTCTTGCTTGCAAATTGTTTGTGACTTTGAAGCACCGCATGCGGCTGCCTTTTTATTGGGCTGTGGGAGCCAGGGAGGGGGAGTTTTCTTGACTTGACATTCGCAGAGGCGGTTGCAATTGCGAGGGTTACTCGGGTGCACTAACTGTGGCAGGGAGCCCCCTTCTGAGTGCGCTACAAACCAAGTCAAATGGAAGGCAGAGGAGCAGGCGGGCAACAGGCAGACCTACATGATCTAAGGGTGAATCACAGACATCTGGGCCCAAACAAAGCCTATGCGCCATCAGATTAATCGAACAAATTATTGTTATCATCGTAACGAGTACAAGGTAAGTATAATCTGATACAAAGCTTTGAAATTTATGGACCTGCCTTCGGCAGGTAATACAAAGTGAGTTTACAAAAATCAACTTAGATTGCGCGAGCCAATTTTTTACTGAAATCTGATTTTGTCGGCAAGAAGGAATCACTTCTTTCCCTGACCAGATTATTTAATCAGCTTGGTTGCCAAGTGGCGTTTAGCGTCTTAATTATCGTCGATCCATCGAAGTGTGCCTTGCTGCCTTGCGATACGAGGGCCCTGTAAATCATCTGCCGGGCGGCAGCTAGGCTTCCAGCTCAAGGGCAGCCCACTTCAAGAGCAGATTCAATGGCCAATTCTTCGCTGGCCCACTTGGACAGTGAAGTCATTGCCAACGGCCTTCACTGCATCTAGTGGCATCAATCATTAAAATAAAATTGTTTGGGTTTGTAAAAACAAATAAGCAAAGCGAGCTATAATAAGCTGAAATAAAATATTAGTTTATAATAAAGTTGGTAATAACTCTCTTTAAATGTTAATTATCTAAAGTGAATAGGCCTTTATAAAAGGTAAATCATCGGATCTACACAAAAGCAATGATGTCATTTATGCCAACGATGCGCGGAATACAATAACAAAAAGAAAGCCCATAAAAATTCAGAATAATGGAATAAGGGGCCAAGTCGACCACTCTCCAAAACCGGAATTACCGTAGTTTGAGCAAAACTTTCTGGGTTTCAGGTCCAATAGGTATATAACTTGTGCGTGATGTGAAGCAGCGCGGATCGAGATAACAGCAATCGACAGTCAAACGACACTTTATTCCAAGTACTTTGAGTAAATCATTCGCGCTTTTATTTTATATAAAGCCTGCAATCGAGTGAAGGTAAAAAACACTAATTAATTCAACTCTCATCCCCGCGCGGTTCAGGCGACCTGTATTAAGCTAAACGCAAGACAAAGTTTACTGCGCTCAATTACTTGGGCCCCAGAACGCGTTAACAAGCACAGCAAGGGAAATCTGATAAAAAGGAGGAACTGATGATCGACGAAGAAAGGAACGGCAAAATACAGTAGCCATTATTAGAAACAACCGGTCAAAAACCACTTATAAGGGAACTCGAGGTTCTCCAGTTAAGATACTAAATTCAAAAAAGGTAACATCCGATGTTAATTTTCCCTCTGTGGTATTAAACTTGGATACGTAAAGAATTTTTTAAAGAAGTTATAATAAGCTTGTTGGTCAATTTTTTACGATTAAGCAAGAAAAATAAAAAATCTAAATTGTAAAACAAATCAGAAATAAAAAGTCGGAACATTTTTATTCTTGCGTTACAACCACAAAACTGAAATTGAATTTTAAAATTTAATCGCTTATGATGACAATGAAACAAATTATTAGGTTCATTGGATTCGATTGAGGAACATAAGTACAAATAGTAAATATTGACAAAAGCAAAGATATCGCATCAGATGGCCAACCGTTTTCTCTTAGTTGCAACAACTCAACTGGCAAGTGAGTTTCCCAGTTTCCTTAGACCAGTTTATTTGCTAATAAATACCACATTCTATAAATAAGGGGTTTCCCGACAATCGCAGTTCCCCACGCTCCGAGAAAAACAGGTTAAGGCCGTCACGTGCCGCCGCATGCTACAATCAACCAAAGTCTAGGTGAAAAACTGCTCACACTTACATAGATGCAATTTAACGCGACTAAAAAACTCCCCTCAAGGGGCGTGTCAGAGGGCTTATCTTTTAGGCAGCCCACCGCCAGGCGATTTACATTCGCCATATTTCAAATTAGCGATTCAGCATTTATAATTAAAAGTTGTGCAAACATTTTAAAGCATTTATTGCATAATTGCGTTTGGAAGTAGGCAAAAAAAAAAACAGAATTTACCAACATTAATCGGCGAGTTTTTTGTTAAGTCCCTGTTTTTAAATTATTAATTAACGTGTTTGTACGTGGGTGGGCGAAGCTGCGAGGTCGTTCGAATTGTGATAGGAAAATAGGATTATCTTTTTCATTTAAATTGGCCGGAAGTCATTTGCCGTCTGTTGTTGATGTTGTTTTTGAGAAACAAACGAGAAATTCTTGTTGTGGTATTATTAGTCGATTATTATTTTAACCCGCGAAAAGCAATTAGAATGCTTTATTTGTATTGAGTTTTGCCGAGAGAACACTAATTTAATTATGAAGTAATTAAAGCAATGGGTTTTAATTTTGGCTGAGAATTTGCTTAAAGGCGTACTTTTTTTCGATTAGCAACATTTAAAATTAAACCAGAGCGGTATGGGATTGGTAAGAGTTTGAGAGGCACATCCCACCAAATAAAACCCAGTGCTAATCGGGCTTTCGTGCCTTCTGTTTTATGGGCTTGTATTCAGACTTTCAGCAAGCCTTTAAAGCAATTACAACCTACGTCCAAACAATGCAAATAAATTTGCTTGCGGCAACCAATCAATGTGTTCAGGCATCCTTGGCGGGGAACGTGCCATTAGGAACAACTTTACCAGTGATAAGCCGACAACTTTTCAACATCAACCTAGTCCCTCAACTCCCTGTTTCACTTTATCCTTTTCAACATCAAGCCTCGCCCACAAGGAGAAAACAATTTGGAGCCCTCTGCCGCATAAATTATTATTACGCCTAATTTTTGGTTCGTTACTCCCGAGCAGCTTTTAATAAATTTGCCAAGCAGATTTACCAGCAGTGGTGGAAAACTAAAACCGACCGTGAATTATTTACTCAGCCGATTTTCAAACATCACAATCGGCCTTTCATTAATTTCAGACAAACGAGGGTACATAGTTAAGAGTTAAACTTATCACCTGATTCATGCACTTTTAGATATAATTATTACAAGCGAATTGTGCTTGTTATTCCTCGTTTTTGGTGTGGGGTGCGATGCGGAAACTTTTTTTCTTTTAATAGCTCAAACTAATACGTTCGCACCAGTCACTGAATGTAAGCAGGCATGATGCTGGGCTAGTCAGTAATTAACGAGGTTGACAAAACTTCCGTCTGCCGTTTAACTGCGATTTAGAACGCAAATCAACTTCAATGATCTAGTCTCCCAAGGTCGAATTCTTAAAGCAAAGACATTTGTTAGCTTTTATAATATCGGTATTCTTGTTGTCATCTTTCATCCAGGATTATGTAAAAGATTTTTTTAAGTTGATGAACCTTTTTATATTCTTAAACCCTTAACATTATATATTATAAACCACAAATTAGCCAATTGTATAACGAATCACACAAACAAAAAAAAGGTAATTAAGCTTATAATGAAGTTTATAATTTAGTGTCGGAGGCTTTTATGACCCTTCAATACTATACCTAAAGCTGATTAAGAAACAACTAAAATTCTACGAAAATTGTTAGACTTTAGCACTTTAGCTAATAAAACCACATAAAAAAGATTAAGGCTGAAAAAGAAAGTCTTCCATTCTTGTTCTTATAAAAATTATCCAATGTTTTATAAATTCTTCGATTGATAAACTTTAACTTACATTCGACTGTGAAACTTTTTCAATTTTCGATATTGACTTTGATCTACTTTCTAAGAAAATATAAAAGAAATAATTAAAAAGATTATTTGTTTATTTTTTTGGTAATCTTTTTATTAAAGTATACACAACTTGTCATGATACTAGGATCGGATAGGATGTAGTTCTTCATATACATAAGTTGTTATTTGAATGCTAGCTATATTGCTACAAATCTAGCATACTAAACCAATATCACTTCAAGACCTTTCCATGTTGTGCACAAAATTACACACGGTTAGTAAACTCACCATTACTATTGAAAATTATCGCAAGAAAACAGAGTATTAATACCAATTATCAATACAACATAGCAAAGTTAGACACTACCGTTGAAAAAGTATAACTAGTTCTAATGCAACTGGTATTCATTACCGGTACTATAACTCTTAATTCAAATAATTTAGAAATAAAAAAAGCCGGGCTTTAACAGTCCACATTGATCTCCAGTAATTCTTTATGTGTGTCATACCGCAATACCTCTACTTCTGAACAATGCTCTTTTAAAACAAGGTAATATTTTAAAGTTGGCTCTTTGAAATGCACACACGTAGTTAACTTTATTCCAAGCAGTCGTGGCAGCGAGAATACCTGTAGCTGCCGAGAGCTTTGGGATCGAATCAAACAAAAACCGTCCGATTGCGGCAAGCGCTTGCGATGAACTCAAGCGGGCTGTAGACAAAAGCGCGCAAAGTTGGCATGAGAGGCACGGGGATCCAGTGATCAAGCAAATGAGAGGGTTTGACAGCGACCGCACAACGGCCATAATAATGCCACGCTCACCTTCACAATTATTAAGCATAACACCAGATCTGAATTGATACAACTCACGAGCACCGGTACGAATTGAACTGTATTGGTTCTGCCCTAAATGCGTATATGGAGTTAGAAATAACTATCCAGATAAAGTCAGTTACACGCCAAACTGGCCGCGCTGCTTAGAGGTCCCCGGGTGCGTATCATCTTGCTCGGATTTGGCTTTCTGCTGGTAGACCAGGCCGTCCACACCTGGAATGGTGTTACATCCGACACAGGCGTGCAGAGTCTCGTGGATAAAGATGTCGCAGTCGACGCAGAAAAACTGCTTGCAGAAGCCACATCTGAAGACGAGCTTGTCGGCGGCCTGGCCGAGCGCCTTTGCGCAGGCGTAGCACTCCTTGATTCCGCCGCCAAGCTCCAAGGAGAGGGGCGGCATCGCATCGAAGGGCATTTCCTCGAAGTTTGGCACCGGGAATAGGTGGTGGTAGGATCGGGCGAGGTGCGGCGCCGATACCAGAGTAAGACCGCAGGATTGACACTCTACGGGTAGCTCGCAGTACTTGCTGTTGCATTGCGGACAATGGTGACCTGTGGTGCACAATTCGCTGGGCTCCTCTAGGTTCTCTATGTGGCACATACACATGGACAGCGGCGCGTCCTTACCCTCCACTTCGTTTTTGCTGTGCGGAAAGCCCATGCGAATCAGGGAGTTGTGCTGTGTCTTAGCCGCGGGCGGGGGATCCACCTGGGACATTAGCTGGTCCCGGAAATGGGCGTCATCCAGAACAGCTCCGAAGGTGCCCATCGTCTGTTGCGTGAGGTAGCGGGCGACGTGAATCTCCGCAGACAGTGAGATGACTGAACAGCGTATACCTTCTTTTTTCAGTTCGTCAATAGTAAGATTTATGTCGACGGGATCGCAGGTGGTAAGCGAACCCATGATAATGACGATTTCGCGGGAGGCATGCGAGGGGACAACCTTTAGGGTTTTAAGCGCTAGATCTAGACCGTTCTGCAAAGAGGGCTCGCTCGTTAGGGACACGTTGGCCAGGCTGAAACAGATTGTAGATAAGTCTGGAATCGCGGAAAAAAATCTGCACCCACCTTTCCAGCGCCTTGAGATGGACCCGAGAGGTGCCGGTGAGCTCAGTCACTTTCTCGGCCCGCTTGGCCTTCAGGGCTATGATGCCCAGCTGGCTGATGGGGTTCTGGTCGAAAAACTCCTCTATGAACAGCTCCAACAGCTTCACGGTACAACGCAGCCGCGTGGGCTTAAGGTCTGGCACACTCATGGACTCGGAGCAGTCCAGAACGAGAAACAGGTGGCGCATCATGCCAAGGCGGTTCTGTTTGGTCTTTTGCGCTTGTCGCTGGCGCTTGGCCTTCTGGATGATCTCGGCGATGGCTCCATCCAGCTGGCCGTCTTCGTCGTCCTTTATAGCCTCCCTAGAAATCAAAAATTAAGATCGGCTCGCATCACATGGACTTTCTCACCATGTCTTCTCGTAACCTGTCTCCCAACGGTACTCCTTTTGGTCGTCCTGCTCGTCATCGGCCATGTTTGCAGTTTTGTCCGCAACAAGCAATCGAACAAAACAAGTGAAACAAACCACAACGAAACTCACCGGCAAGCGGACCAATGAGTACACACTATACAAACAATAATTACAATGCGCTTGGTTGCCACCCTTTGCGCCAGACGATCACCACACCAGCAAGTTATACAGAAATTAGTTCATAATGATATATTAAATTAGTTTTAAAACTACAAACAATATGTTTTAAATATTGAAAATAAATTTTGATTGTTTTATCGTTTCAAATGTGCGCAAAGTTACCACATCGATGGATAATCTCACCTCGCTGTGTGATTGGCTGAGGAAGTGCACCGCCACGCGGGCGAACTGAAAAGGGCGCTACAGTCTTTTTCCGGGCATAAAAGTGCAAATTACGTATAGAAAATCAAGTTTTTAACTGCAAAATATTCGAAATATATTTTAAATCCTTCTAATTTTATTCTTAAAGCTGACAAGACAATTTTGCTCGCCAAAGAGCTTGCCAATAAACTATGCTAAATACACATCGAAAGCAGAAGCGCATTCAAAGGTTTGCCTAGCCGGTACAAAATTGTCACCAAACACTCTTCGTATAGCCGAACCAACTTTGAGTTTGGCATTCAGAGTTCGCGCGTACAATTGTGAGCAGCAGCGGCGCTGCGCGTGTTGAAAGTCGAGCATCAGTTAAATTAAAATCACCGTTTAAAAAACTGTATTCGGTTTGATTTTGAAAAGTAATTTGTTTATGAAGGTGTGTACTAACGAGGTGGTGCAAAAGCCTTCTAAGATAGTTTTAAGTAAAGGCCTATCTGCAGAACCAAATATCGAGTCGTGAAGTTTTAGCGGGCAACATAAATTTGTGTAGATCTCTTGATTACAGCTTAAAAATAGTGAGATTCCTCGCAGATGGAAAACATGAAACTAAAGAGTCTGTGTTTTTTAGAATTTTGGTCGTTTAACAAGTTAAAACTTTCAAAAATAACAAATAAAAAACATGTTTGAAGGGAACGTTTTTATTAGAGCTCATGATACGCTGTTAAATGTTAAAAGTCCCGTCTTGTGCGGGGCATTGCCAAGTCGAATAATATTTAATGTAGTTGTCAGTGTTTTTTTTTAATATTGTCCCAAGGCGCCGCTGCATTTTGCAATGCAGATGTATGCTCAAACTCACCATACCGGGCACACACCGCAAAACAAGGAGCATGTTGCCACCTAGTCCAAGTTTGCGCAAACACACCACGGCACTGTACTTTTTCTTGGCCTGTTAGCTGATTTTAAAAACCAACCAATAACAACAATTTAGGATTTAAGGCACTGTTCAAAATTTAATATTTAAATGCACTCCACAGAGGCTTGGGCGTTGGGGTTGTGAATAATGTTGGCACAGGAGATTGCACCAACGGAAATTGGCAAACACGCGAACATTATCAGAGGTAAGAGGACAACGAAGACTGGTTAATGCAAATTGTCTACTACATTTTTTTTCCCGTGTAGCTGCCCAGGAGGAACTGGCAAACATGGACGTTCTCGTGTGTGGACGCTGTTTGAGGGCGTACAACTTCGTGGAGGAGTTTCAAGCTCATAAGGAGGACGCTTGTGAAAAGGAAAACGCGAATCTAAAAGAAACTCTTGACTCCAAGCCCACTATTTGGGCTTTCACACTTTGGAAGGCCACTCAGCTTCACACACGCAAAGATGCCAATTCGGGAAACTCGTGGGCCCTTTACCAGCATTGGGTGAAGCTGGATGACAGTGTACGAGAGCCATGGATCGTGGCAGGCAAGACCATTCAGTCTTTCGGCAAAATTGCCCATGGCCAGCTTCAGGACATGCCGGTTCGCATAACCAAGACTGTGGTTAATCCAAACAATAACAACACGTCCAACAGCAATAATAACTCGAGCGTCTCTCCTACAAGAAGTAATTAACATCGAAGAGTTTTTATATAACATATTAAATTTGTTTCCTGTATTCCCAGAATCCCCGGCTGGTAAGCTTCCTACTGTGGCCAACCAGCTGAAGGACACTGAAAACGAACGGCCAAAGTCAAAGCCAGGAACGCCGACACTACCAACAGCTTCCTCTGGAGCAGTCAAGCCTAACAACCGCATCGCCATTCGTATTGACTCCAAGACAGAGCAGCGCACCGAAGAGCCAGTTGAAAAGATAGTGGCAAAGCGATTTAATCCGCGTCGAAAGACCCACGAGTATTTAGTAAAGTGGGTGGATCGCTCGCACCACGAGAACACCTGGGAGGTGATGGCCAACCTTGAACGAGTACCATACTTTCTGCAGATGTTCGAAAAGCAACTGGCGCGACAAAAACTTACTAGGGAGAAGGGTCTGGATGCACTAAAGCGAATGCAGCCACAAGGGTCGTCTTCAAAGGCGGATAATGCCGCTCCACTCAGCCCGGCCTTGGCGCCATCGCAAATATCGCCTTCATCTCGGCCCTCGCGTACTTCCAAAACCAAAGCTATGGACTCGTTTAAGCAGTGGGTCAATGAGACGGGTGGCGGTGATGGTTCCTCTTCGCCATCCTCGGCCAACGAGGATGAATCCGCTACGGAACAAGAATGGCCACCCTCGACGGGGCCAGTCAAGCGCAAGCTTAACCACACCGACTCCAGCGTCGAAGGCAGCGGTCTAAACGACTCGATGGACCTAGAGGACCTTGAAGAGGATCTGCCATCACACACTGTAAAGCGGTTGAAGAACGGAGGAAGCTCCGTGCAGCTGAACAAGCCAAGGGTCCAGTCTACGGAAAAGCAGCAGTCTAAAATTAATGGTAACTCCACAGTGTCGGGAACAGAGCAGAGAATGGGTGAAATTATATACACAGAGGACAGTACCAGCTCGGGAATGTTCAGAAAGCCCGAGATGCCTAACACCCTGCAACTGGTAATTAGTGACAATGATTTTTCTGCACAGCATCAATTTACTAGAGATCTCAAACCCCGTTACAGAAAAAGGAGAAGCCTGAGTGTCCGGTGCGGTATCTCTCACGCTCCGAGGTGGCCAGCAACACGAGAGGTGTTTTCCGTGTTGAAAGTTCTGAGGCATCGGCCTCAGCATCTCCAGCAGCTGCGCCGCCACAGAAGGTCAGCTCTGCACAAGTGACCACAGGAGTACCCAAGCGCCTGCCCATGGCACGGCCAACACACTCCGGCGCTAATTCCCCCATCACTGTGGGCCAGCGACAACAGGTATTGCGCACTCCCGGCCAGGGTCCCACGACAACCGCCATCCAACGTCGACCTGGAATGAGTGGCACAACACAGGTGCGCCAGGGCCTGCAGCAGACACCGGGCCGGGCTCATCCGGGTGGTCGAGTCCTAGCACGTGCTGGTGTTGGAACGCCGCAACAACGTCAGCATCCGCAAACTTTACAGGGCGCTAAAGCAGTGACGCCAGAGCAAAAAATTCTGCAGCTTTCAAAGTCGGGTGACTTGAAAGTTACTCGTAAGGTGGTAACCCGAGAGGAGCTGATGGCCCAGCGTTCTGCTCAGGCCCGCCAGCAACGCCAAGTGCAGGTCCAGCAGCAGTCATCCCATATGCAAAGAATTACTCCTAACCGGCAAAGAATAGCTCCCAAGCCAGCGATCCAGCCAACACCCTTGCAAATGGAGCTGGAGGAGGAGGTGCATCAGCACCAGGCTCAGCTCTGTCCGATTACCGGAAAGCTTATTGGTCAGGAGGAGACACAACTGCAAATGGAGCAGGAGCAGCAGCAAGAGCAACAGCGCGAACAGTTGGAGGCCGCAGCACAGGCGCTCCTAGGCAGTGATCAACAAGTTCTCACCAACGAAGACGGCTCAGCTTTGCTGGTGCGAGGAGAAGATGGCACGGTTTATCAGGTAGCGGGAAAAAATGCGGAAGGTCAAACCATACTTGTCACTCAGGGTCCAGATGGAGAACAGCAATTTGCTTACGTAGCTGCCGCTGAGGGAGAAGAGCAGGATGTTCTGTCTCTTGACCACGCAGTGGCCGAGGCCGTTCAGGCCGGAGAACAGGTTGAGGCGCATGGTGTCACAACGACTTCAGCGGACGGCGAGCAGATTCTTGTGTCCATGACGGAGGAGGAGCTGGCTCAACACCAGGTGCTTCAACAAGCGGAGGCTTCTGCAGCAGGTACCGGAACTCCCGCCACGGCCCAGATCCATATCACGACGTCAGACAGCGATGGCACGGAAGCCCAGATACCAGCCGAGGTGGTACAAGCAGATCTGCCTTCACCGGGTAAGTTTAAAGGGTTGTTTATATACCTAATCTACAATTCATTTTTTGTTTTTCTAGGAGGTACCCGTCGCGTCGTTTTGTTGCTACAGGATGGCACCTTCATGATGACTGAGATGCACGAAGAGCAATTCAAGACGCTCAACATCCCGACGTAAAAACATGTGTATAGTCTCACCACATAGACTTAGGCGTAGTCCATAAGCCCATAATTTTGAAAGGACCTGACGTTGCTAGGTTACTCCCACCTTCAGTTTCGTTTGGCATTAGCCATTCCCCCACGATAGGCCACAAGTATTCATAACCCATGACTCAGGGTCGTGTTTGCTAGTGGTTTTAAAATGATAAGCTTGTCGAGAGCATACCAGGATGCGTCAGGTAACGGCAATAGAGGACGATGGAATAAATTATGCGTATACATACAAAAATTAAAACATTTACCCCTCGGGGCAGATTTTTGCTACTTACCTTAACGATTAAATCGGTTCACTAAAAAATTCTAATGATCCAAACTAGTGAAGGAAGCCCCTTGAGGAATGTTTATGTATTGCGTAATCACAGTTCTGATTTTGTAATAAATTGTTTAAACAAAAAATGCATTTACTTAGCCCGCTCCTAAGCAATGATTGCGTAAAACATGAAATGCCCCTTAACTTTGAACTTGTATAACTTTTAAACACGCAGTTTAGGAACATTTGAGATTCTATAGCGTAGAATCGCATCGCGTCGCAAAATGCAATATGTGCATTTCAGTTGGAAAATTAAGAAACAAAGGCAAACTTAGCAGTAGGTAAAATTACGATAGATATGAATTGTAAATTATTTAAGTAATTTTAATCTAGAGAACTAAACAATATCAGCATGTTTATTCATTCAGAACATACAAAGAGCAACTGCGGGAGAGCAAAACCTAGAATGTTGTAATTAGGAATATCTCAGTCCTTGACATTCGCTTAGACCTTACTTGTATTTCTTCAGAAGCCGAAGCTCCACAGCGGTGCAGATTGATAAGGGATAAAAAATGCCGAACATTAAATTATCGAGCCCAATAAAGAAAAGATTGCAGTCAAATTTGTATTATTTTATCTTTCCGAAACTTAGCAATAAAAAAGCCCACGGTGTCTACACACTGTTCACTGGGTCCAAAGCGCTGTAGCAGGCGCGACTTGGATGCATCCAAATTGGGAAGCACAAGTCCGGGACCACCCCAGCGTGGACTAGCATCCACCAGGCGCAGGTCGGAAAACTTGCTCAGCGCCCAGGCCACCAAGCACTCGCATTCCTCCTCGGTGACAGTGCATGTGCTGTACACAAGGATGCCGCCAGAACGCAGGAGCTGCACAGCCTGCTCGAAAAGCCGACGTTGGATGTTCGGATAAGACTTCAGCACCTTGGCTTGCTTTATTCCGCATGATAGCTGTGGACGATTGCCCAGACCACTGCATGGGGCGTCGAGCAGGATGCGGTCGAAGCTTTCGCGGGGAAACGGAGGCCCTGTGGAACCCTCAATGGCTGCAGGTGCCAGAGCCTTGGTGGAGTCATAAACATGCGCCGAAATGCTCTTGTACTGGGTCAACTTTTGTAGCATGTTGCGCACTCGGCTTGCTGAGTTATCCAGGGCCACCACGAATCCCTGGTCACCCATCAGCTCAGCAATGTGGCCCGTCTTGTTGCCGGGAGCGGCGCACATGTCAAGCACGTGTTCACCTGGCTGTGGGTCTAGGACGCGGACACATACAATGGAAGGCAGGTTCTGCAGCACGGCTTCTTCACTGCTGAGATCCCCCAGAGAGGGCACTCCGCTAACGTTGGACTGCATTTCCACTGCGACTCCAGAGGCGGGCTCGTCGGAGTTGTTGTACAGCTGGTATCGCTGCATCAGTACCTTGCCCGAACCTAGATAGACCTTTTCCGGATTATCGTAGCGGGTGATTGACCCGCGTTTGCATTTTCCAGACAGGTCCGCGTACACGCTGACAAGTTCATGGAGCTGCGTGTGCGACTCCATGGCGAGAACGCCGGGAGCATATATGTGTGCGCCACGCAGCACAGCAGCTCCGCAAGTGGTGTCCACTATGATCTCTTTTCGGGTAGGATCGGCAAAGGCATCTGTATAATGCAAGGCCAGCGGTTCAATGCACAACACTTCCGGTAGGTTCGGTAGCCCATACACCTTCGGGCATCCCTGACCATAGCGTGCGGATAGTTTTTCCTCTAACTTTTTACGGAAACCGTCAATAGTTATGCGCAGTGTGTTTACCCGGTACGTCGTCACTTTTGGTGTCAGGCATAACCATTCTAGCAGTGGAGCAAGTGCAGCCGACTAGACAAAATTGACAAATTATAAAGACAGATTTGCCTAGCACAGCAGCAGGTGTGCGCAATTGGTGAGTGCCTTACCTACATTAACTTTAAGAATCTCTCCCTCCAACAAGGGGTTTCCCAAAAACGGTGTTTTCGGGTAAAACATTTATTTCTATAATTCAAACCACCTGGTTGATTAACGTTTTCGATATCGGTTAAGTAATTCTTTCGATTAATCTTAAGCGATGGCAACACTACCCAAAGTGGTGGAGAAGAGACGTGGCAGCATTTCCTTGAGTTCTCACCACGGCTCTGAGTGCTAGCCATCCCCCTCTTGCACATAGCCCGACAGGCCCTGGGCTGCGCCCATCTCTATCGGCAACGTTTATGTTGGTGAGTTTGCAGTTTTTTCAACGGCAAGTGTATTCTCGGTCGAGTTTTATTTTGCTCTGTGATTTTAGACATTTCCAAGCAGAAGTTTTTAAAATTTCCGCTCAAATACGTGTGCATTTGATTCAAGCAGTTGGTGCGTATGTGTTTTCAGTGGAAGTCCGAGTTTGTATTCGAAAGATTTAGAACCATAGCCAGATTTTGAAGAAATGTGGAATATATAGTTGTGTCCGTATTGGTTTGGGCTAGACGCACACTTACTCGGCTGTGGGGAGTACTGAAAGTACTAGTATTGGAAATCGACTGAATTTATCGCCCAAACTTTGTTTATAATACCTTAGAACCAGGAAGCGGGAACAGATTATTTTCAACATTAAAATTATATTGTCTAAAATTGTAGATAAAAATTATATAACAGCCAATTATTTGTCAACTTCGCCCCACTGAAAACAGTGGTTTGTGTTAATCGACTATCGAACGAGTTTGCTATCGATACGTTTCTTTTCATTATCTTTCTTCGCAATTCGGTGTGTGGTGTGTTTGGTAGCAGAGAAAATTCAATCAAAGAAAAATCTAAGAAAAAACCAGATTACTCGGTAAATAAACGTGCAATGTGCTTCTGAACAAAATAACAGTCTATTTGATAGATAAAAGTGTTATTTGGGACACGAGTCTATGTTGTTTCGAGAAATCAAGGACGGCGACCGACGCATTTCACCAACGTAGAAGAAAAAAGCGTACGTCACTCACACAGGCGTATGCAACCACGTATAAAGTTCAAAGTTGTCCGATCTCGGTCCAAATCGGAACGCACTAGGTCCGTAAGACTTGGCCCATATGAGTAGTTATATTCAGAAGTGTGACGTCGTCGGCATGGAGCTTCGTTTGGAGCTAGAATCAGAGACAGTGACAGGGCGACTCGGCGCAGTTGGCAACTCTGCCGCCTTCGGGTGTGTGAGTTTGTGCGGGGTTTTGGTGTGTTGGTGGGTTTGCCCCGCTTCCCGCAGCTTGAAATTAAAAGCTGCTACGTGTAGTTTTCGATTTCGGCTGCTTCCATCCCAACTATCGTCAGCTGGCACTAGCATCTTTTTTGAGACGTAGGGCGTCTTATCGGGAACTCCACAGAAATCTCTTCTTTGAGTCACCTAAAAAGCTGTAAAAAATGGAATTTGTGTGGGCTAATTGTTGGACTCCTTCAGAAATGGTTTTCAATGGAAGTTTCCGTATGTTTCGTTGGCAACGTTCTGATTTCTGTGTGGAATGCTCGATGAAAACATCATTTGGATTGCATATACCAGTCTGTTCGATTTTTATTTTACCGATGATTCACTGCATAGTTTGAAACCCCTCTCGTCCGCCCATTCAATGTAGCTGAAAACTGCGAATAACCTGAGCACCGGTCTTATCATTTACTCACTTTCCAGTCCGCACGTTTCTTAAATACACTGGGTAAAATGGTCGATGAGAGAGGGGTGGTGGAAATTGGGCTGCCGGCCACAGGGCGCCGTCATCGTTCTATACTAAAAATCAATATCTTATCAATTGTGTTTCCTACATCCTCCCATTTTACGTTATTAATAAATAAGCAATTAATTATATAAACAACTTTTTAGAGTCTGGGCCGCTTAAACTCAGATAAAATAAAAAAACATCGTTATTGCAATAAAGTAAAACGTTATTTCGTTAGCCTCTTCCGGTTTTTGTGTTATGACTCACTTGTGGCTAATATCAACACGTCAGATCGGTGGGGTAACACAAGCCATTCAAAAACAACATACAATCTTTGCTACGCTTGTCATTTAAGCCAGTTACAATCGCTAGGCTCGCCTTGTATCATCTGCCCAATTGATAATGCTCTGCTATAACTGGATCCGATCGGCTTCTTTGCAGATTTCCCAGTCCGAGCACACAAGTCCGCAGTTTGCATATTCTGATCGGTATCGCAACTCGGATTTGAACTTGTCATAATTCCAGCCAGCAAGCAGCAAGCAGGCCAACCAGAGATTCGAATTTCTACGAAACCTCCTGAGCATCGGAAAGACAAACAGCAGCCATGGGAAATGTATTCGCAAACCTGTTTAAAGGCCTCTTCGGCAAAAAGGAAATGAGGATATTGATGGTCGGTTTGGATGCCGCTGGTAAAACCACAATTCTGTACAAACTCAAATTAGGCGAAATTGTTACAACGATACCCACCATTGGTAAGTGTTTCAGCACCCCTAACGCATTAATGCATTCGTATCTAACATCTTCCGATTTCCTACTAGGTTTCAATGTGGAGACTGTAGAATACAAGAATATTAGCTTTACAGTGTGGGATGTGGGCGGCCAAGATAAAATTCGTCCCCTGTGGAGGCACTATTTCCAGAACACACAAGTAAGTATGATTCCAGCTGCTCCCCAGATTAAATTTGATTCTAGATGATGTTAACAACTTGTAATGAATCTCACTGTGATTATTCAAAGTTTTTTTGTTTCAAGACGGGACTGATGCTCATAAATCCAAAAAAAATTTTTACCTAGAGTTGTGGTACCTTGAGTAACGATTTCATTTTGCCTTTTTAAGGGTCTTATATTCGTCGTGGACAGCAATGACCGAGAGCGCATCGGGGAGGCGAGAGAAGAGTTGATGCGTATGCTGGCGGAGGACGAGCTGAGGGATGCAGTTTTACTAATATTCGCCAACAAACAGGTGGGTTTCGTGGCAATATTACTTTTACAAGCAATAAAATTATTTTCACCTGCTAATGCACTTATGTTGACAAAATGTTAATGCGCCATTTCGTTTTAATTTTATATCAGGATCTGCCAAATGCAATGAATGCGGCCGAGATCACCGACAAGCTCGGCTTGCACTCACTCAGAAACCGCAACTGGTACATCCAGGCGACGTGTGCAACCAGCGGCGATGGCCTCTACGAGGGACTTGACTGGCTGTCCAACCAATTGAAGAACGCTAATCGCTAATTAAACACACTACAACTAAAGCAACAATATGAATACAACTAACTCTGATTTCAAGCAAGCCGATGCAGTAAACCAGCAACCAAAACCACGGAAAGAGCGGCTGTAGAACATCAAACAGACGGCAAACGGTGGATATGGACATCAGAAGGAATTATCACAAAAACAGCAGCGGCAACAACACCAACAACAAGAGCAGCAGATCTTCGCATAACTTAATGGGCTCCTTCTGTCCATATTTCCAAACTGAAATTGTTTATTGAATTGCAAAAACAAAACTTTTCAAGCAGCATATAAAGAACGCTATAATTTAATTTAAATTCGTATACATAATTATTGGATGTTTAAAGCAAAACAGTAAAAGAGAACCCCAACCAATCACAAGAGAAAGGAAAACTATAGTATATGGTATAAAAATGTCTTTTTAAGTTATTTTTGTCCTCTCCCTACCCCTCATCAATATATATTTCTTTTTAATTTTATAAATATAAAATATAATATTAATGAGAAAAAACTGTAATTGTAATTGCTCTTTAAAAATACAACAAAAACCATTTTAATTTTTAATCCTTTCGTTTCTTGTTGTCGCTTGGCCACGCAAATCCATAAAAACTCACGCATACACATAAGCACATATAAAAAGGACAGTACTTCTTAAAAGGTAATTCAAAATAAAATTTACATATTAAAGAACACATTCGTCCTGCTGAAGATTATTCCACTGCATTTTACAAAATCTGTGCGAAGACATCTCTGCCTATCGATACCAAAATGCCATTCACCTCAGTTGCCCATCGTAATTTGGCAACACTGTTTGAAAGTCAAAGTTCGACGTTCGACAGCACTGGGCAACCAATTGGTGTTAAAAGGCCGAAAATTTTCATTTAATTCTGTTAATCAGCGACAAATTTAAATACAAGATAAACGCAGAATGTCAGCCAAGCAAAATTCGAAAAAGTTTAAGTGGGCGTTGGACTTCAACGTTAGGTAAAAGTGGATGTCATTTAGTTGGGACACCTTTTCACGTTTGCTTTTTACTCGGCAGCAAAAACGCTGATATTCCCTCTCCGCTGGGTTACAATCCCTCTGCCCTGGTAAACCAAAGCGAAGTGGTTCGCGACCAGCGCCTAGTGATCAAGAAATCCTGGGACCTCGCCTTAGGACCTCTTAAGAACGTGAGTACCAAGCCGCAATGAAGTTCCCTGGATAACCTTTGGATTCCCTCAGATACCCATGAACCTGTTCATCATGTACATGTCGGGCAACTCGATCTCCATTTTCCCCATCATGATGGTCGGCATGATGCTAATTCGGCCCATCAAGGCAATCTTCACTACCCAGGTGACGTCGAAAATGGCCGAGGGCGCCCAAGGAACTGGCCAGCGCATCGTCTATTTCCTGGGCAACCTGGCTAACGTGGCCATGGCTCTTTACAAATGCCACAGCATGGGCTTATTGCCCACCCACGCCTCCGACTGGCTCGCCTTCGTTCAGCCGCAAACGCGCCTGGAGTATTATGGCGGGGGAGTGTCCTTTGTCTAGGCTTACACATGTAACATCGCTTTATTTGATAATAGATAAATTTGTTTAACATCAAAACGAGAACTCATCGCACCAGTCAGTCATCCAGTATCTTTTTAGCCTCCTTTTTGATGTCGTCCACAAGTTTCTCACCAGCGGATCTGTGGAAGAAGTACACTTGGTTTTATTTCCGCTTTTTTATTTTTGAAGCTAATTTCAGTAGTTGCAAATGATTTCGTAAAATCCTTTGAAATCTTTTTGAATAACCGCCATAAATATTTTCTTGCAGTTTTTATTTTAAATATAAATTTTTTAAAAGAATCCAATGTGGAAGCCAAAAAAGAGCTCGACACAGGTGGGCGTCCACCTATCGAGACGGCACAGCTTCTTTTTATAATAAAACTTTTCCTCATGGCCACAAATTTTATATAAGCCAAAAAAGAGCGATTTAATTGAGCGATTTTTACAAATGAAATTACAAAAAGACGCTCAAAAAGTTCATTAGAATTTAGTGACGGTTAGGTTTTCCAAGTATAAAACTACCAAGGCTGTTACTTGTTCTTGCTTTGGTCAACCAGCTCCTTCACTTTTTCGTTCAGACGCTGGATCAACTTCTGCGGATCATCTACCCGGGGGACCTAAACGGGACAGGATTAGAACAGTTTACAATAAATTTAGTAGAAGGATGCTTACCTCATAGTTCTGCGAAACGTAGATGCCCGTATAAACCCCGGCGCCAAAGGTCAACTGAAATAAAACAAAGAAGAATATCAGAATTGGTGCGAGATAAGCATCTGCTTTAAAGTTGCTTTTCGTGTAACCCCTATACCAAAGGGGCATCTCTCAAGCTGACCGTAGAAAAGCACAGCACCCTTTTGAAGGTCCAAAAACGTTTTTTGGGGCAACACGGCAGAGGTTCTCGTATTTCCGGGGGACAGCAAGTGTTCGTGGAACGGGATTGTCCGCCAGACTGGAGCCTCATCACTCGCATTCCAAGTCCGAGTAGTTTCATTTCGGTTTCCAGGGGAATAAAAACAATTAATTTGGAAAGTTTGTGTTGTTTTTCAAAATGTCGATCTGAAAATTCCTGTTGACTAAGTGGAGTAAACGTAAATCCCAAAGAGAAGCTGATTTTTCTATTTGCTTAATACTAAAGCTGATCGGATCTTATATTCTCTTGAATCCAAGTCCAAAGGAACCATTTGTGGAAAAATTTTTATATAAGCGCATAATTCGCCAAAGAGCCAAACAGAAGCAACGAAAATTGTAAGTCTAGAAACTTATGATAAGATGATTTTTATTTTTTTATTTTCATATTTTTTCTCCACTTATAGTGTCCGTCCGGGTATTGCGACGAAAACTCGATGGCTTGATTGGTCCCCAGACAGGCTTATACACTTATATCCTTTTGCTTAGTGCGTCTTCCGGGCATCGCTATAAGCAGATTCTACTGTATTTGCTTTGTTTAAAAAAAGTATACTGTATACCTTTAAGTTTTGGCAATCGTTTCCAATTACCGACCACCTTTAATGTCGTAGTAGGCTACATTTTCGTTAATTTGGCTCGTAATGCTAACAAAATATTTAATACCAACAAACAAAAAAAAAAAACTGAATACAAAACCTACACCTAAGGATACAAATTTTTTTAGGCCCTTTCGTCTTGATAACAGATTTAGCCCACTGTGCAGTGGCGCGTCATCGCCGTAAAAAGACCAACAACAGCTGAGAATTTATGTATTACGTTCCCATTTATGTATATGTTTTGGGATATCCATAACTTCACAGGTGAATAGCTTGGTTAGGGCAAGCTTAATCCGCCAGAAAAGACTTACCAAAAACTTCAGCATTGTCGAGTAATGGAAAGCGCCTTTGTCGCCTGCAACCGCCAGTGTGAGAGTGAGAATGTGCAAAAGAAACGTCAAAAATGCGAATGAGAGCGGTGGTTGACAGCAGCTGACTGGCTCTCTGCGACTCTCCCAGCTGTGATTAGATAATCGGTGTCGAGCTGATAACGCTTTTGCAGTTACTGCTTTTCGCACTGCACTTTCACTAAAATTTGTCGTTATAGAGGTTGAGGTCACCGACTGCGAACTATTTTGCTCTGCGGATGTGGTGGAAATAACAAGCAAGGGCAATGCAAGGGAAATCGAATCGCTTAGTGGCCAAAAATAAAACCTGTTTGTGGTTGCCACTGTCTTGACTAAAACATTCATTTACACACTTTGGCCGGGTTTTTACAGTTCTCCTGATGGATTTTTTCGTTTTGATTTAGGCGCCATTGCTTTCGGTGTTTTTCAACACTATTAGCACTTACAGGCGAAGTACAGACCAGCCTCAGAAATGTTAACTGACGAAAATAATTTTTTATTACGTAAACAAAATGTTGGCTTCTTCAATTTAACAAAATCGTGACTAAACCAAATGTAAATACCTTCTCGTTTGACCTGTACTATTAAAATGAAAAATAAAAACGGGATCAATTAAAAGAAATGTTTTCACTTGGACGAATACTGTACAGTATTTTTAAAATTATATAGAAAATTGATGTGTTGATCTTAGCAAGGTTCCACTGTAAATAAAAGATACATTTTTGCCGAACGAATGGCGATTTAATGTTACTTTTAAAGCTATCTCTGTAAACAAGTTTAATCTTTGCAGGGCTTTCACTTTAACTTAGAGCTATAAATGTATGTTTGAAGTTGTCCTTTCGATTAGGCCAAGACCGCCGGGCGGGTTTTCAGGTAAACGAACAATACCAGGAAAACAGCAAGCACCCCCACCGCGGGCAGCACTACAGTGCGGATTTTGGCCTGGCTCTCGAGGTTGTCCAGCTTGCGCTCCTTTTTCTGCTTGCGCGTCTCCTTGACCTTTCCCTTCAGCTGACGCATCTCGATCCTGTGTGGTTGCGATTAATGGTTCCCTTAATCTGACCTACACGCTGCTGACGTGTGTAATTCTGTGGAGTGCGTGTGCGTGGAACAACAAAACAGAGAGCGATGCGCTGGCTCTTTCTGCCGCTCAACAAGTTGTTTCTGGGCCGAAGAAGAAGAAGAAGAGTTCGGTGGGATTGGTATCTAGCTGGCAGTTTTTTATAGCTAACGTTTAAGGTTTACGCTCAGTCAGCTTTTTGTCAATAAACAGTGCTGACATTGCCTGCCAGTGCTGGGATTGTCTGCCAGTGCTGCCAATTTTGAATGATTGGCGCGCGTTTTAAATTACGTTTTTGGGATCAAAACGCAGAGGTTAATCTACTGTCTATAAATATAAATTTAAGCTTAAAATTTATCATAGATATTTGAAATGTGATTAATATTACGGTATAAATGTAACTGTTTTAAAAAAATTAATTGCTTGATTTGTTTAAGAAATTTTTTGCTATGAAATAAAATCATTTTGTATAATCTGAGTGGTTAGCTCAATAGTGCAGGAATTTCCTGAGTACATAACCCGCCGAGTGGGCCATCTCTTGTTATCGGCTTTAAGCGTGGCCCGCCGACACGAGCGTTGGCACAGCGCTTTGCACGAACCTAACCCATATTTCCCTTTAATTAGCCAGTCGCCCGCTAAGCCCTTTAACTGCGCCCTGCCCGCAGACACCGGATATGCCGGCAACTGTTGCACCTTCACCTCTAAATGCGATTTCGAAAATGTTTGAGCAGTTCCAAATGCTCTTAGGGGTCGGGTCGCTGCCGTTGCCGACTGGCCAGTCACTGCCTTGGCTTCTGCCCCCGTTCATTCTGCCCCGCTGCCGGTCTGCAATTGCGGCTGCTGGACACCTGATGAAGCAATAATAATGCAGAACGCTGGCCGGGAACCGTGGCCAATCAGTTGGGACGCACTGCCAAGTTTGTGCATCGGTAATGAAGCCGAGGCCTCGGGGCCCGGCGCGCATTTCGGCATCTAATTTCGCCCATTTCCATAAACGGCAACCCGATCAGTTTGGACACGGATTATTGGCAACTATTTAGTCCCGGCCCCAAAAAGGCCCAGAGCGGCCGTCAGCAGCCCGTCAGATTGGCCTCGCTGCGCACCCGGCTGTCCGAAAGCTGTGTTCCCGACCAGATCTAGTCCGAGTTTCCTGGTTCTGGCCAGCGCTAACACGACTCTCGGCCCGATCGTTAGCCGGCTAGCACACATAGTTGTGTTGTCGTTGATTGGTCAGACCGATCGGTCAGTCCCTCTGTCCGCCCGTCCGTCCTGAGAGTCCGTCGTCGGGGTCCGGACTCCATCTCTTAGTTAAACTCCTTGTTTTGATTGCCAAGTCGTAAAATGATGGATTACCGAGTTGGGACTTACTCCTTGTTACGGTCATAATAGATTATCTCTGCTCACTCATTGTCAGAGCTGCTGCGCCCGAACTGCCCCGCCCCCCGAGTCTTCTTCTAGCCGCTCGTTAGGTTCCGACGGGCGGACACAGCCACCGTTTGGCGAGCGGCTTGTGAGCCTCGATTCGTTGACGTCGCAAGATTTGGCATGCTGATGGAGCAGGCCTAATCACATGGCCTCCGATCGCACGATGTGCAGGCGCGCAATTAAAAGCAATGTAACAAATGTGTCCATATCAATTTTCACTTTAGTTCTGAATAGTTTTTAGGTATGCTATTCTATTTGCAATTCGTAGAAGTGCCAGATTAACAACATTTATCAACATTCAAACTGCTTATCTATCCAGTTTATTTCGAATAAATCTATGACTTATTTGTAAATACATCAAACAGATGCTTTATTCCGCGTTCAAGTTAGAAATAATAAAGAAAGACCCGTAAATACCTTCTAAGTTTCCAGTTAAATTCTTTGCAATATAATTATGCACGCACAATGTCCAAAAACTGAATGATTTTTTTGTAATATTCAAATAATTTGGTAAAACCAAACTCGACAAACCATGGAAAACTAGTGAACTGATTCAATTTGGATAGAACAGCCCGGGATGAAAAGTGTATTGCAGTAAACGAAGAAGGAATCAAGATTCAATCCGAGTAGCCAGTAACTAGCCCAAGTAGGCGGGGTAGTACTGGGGCGTGGCCGCGAAGGCAGTTGTCTGCAGCGGGGCAGCGATGACCTTGGCGAAGGTCGCCGGCCGGACGAATCCCACGGCTCCCGCCGGATAGTATGCGATGGTGGGAGTCAGCGGGACCGCCGGCAGAGGAGCGGGCGCAGGAGCCGCCCTGTCCGGGGTCACCTCCACCTCCACCTCCTCGGCGGCGTCGTCGAGGTCCTCGCGCGCCTCGCTGTTGGCCACCAGGCGCGCGGGCTTCGGCTGGACGGCCGGCAGGCCGAACTGCCTGGCTGGCCTGAAGCCGGCTGCCGGATAGGATGCCGCCCCCGGCTGCTGGCGAGCCTCCGCCCGCACCAGGCCGAGCAGGAGGAGAGCGGCGAGCAGCCAGACAACCGACGAGCTGAGTGCCATTGCGATGACTATGGGGAGCTGGGTCGGCGGCCGGACTTTATACGGACCGACCGGGAGCACGCACGCCCCGAAATCGGTTTTGACATTGACCCCAAAAGCGAAGCAGTGGCCGAGTGACGAACAAATCACCTGATGCACCAGCGAGCAGTGCAAGCGTCGCCCATCAATATGCAGCCAATGTTCTAATGTCCCCTTGCCTGTTGTCGCCATTTGATTCGGTCATTTTCCCGCGGTGAGTGGTCAGTGGTCAGTGGTCACTGGCCAGCTGATTATGCAGATCGCGCCAGCAGCAGTTTTGTCACGTCCGCGCCGACACCGTAAATTAAGCCATTTGCTCCGGCGGGGGCACCCGAAAGTGCGGGGAGGGGCCACCGACATAATGGCCTGCCCACCGATCGGGTCGCTCTGCGCGGACTCCGCTGGAAATTGTTTTAGATCGCGCGGCCCGGCTGGCTATTTGTCCGGATCGCTGCTCGCTAATCAATACAAATCGGCTCCATTTGGGCCCGGGCCAGGAGGAGACTCCCCGGACCGCGTCGCATAAATTCGCCATAAGTTAGGCGCTCCTCCGGCGAACGGCGATGAGAAACGCTCCATAAATCCAGGCGGAATGGCGGCCACTGGCTGCCCGAGTTGTCCAGCCCAATATTTACAGCAATTTCAATAAAAATGCAGCAGCTAATTGATGTAATTAATTTATTAAATTACATTTGCCACTTTTTGCCGCCGCTCCGGCAGGCGAGCGCCTTGCCCCTTCCCTCGCGGCGACTCGATGGGAGGCCTCCACAAACGGACAGAAATTGGCAGTCGCCAGTGGCAGTGGCAGTTGGCAGTTGGCAGTCAGTTTATGGGCCGCAGCAACTGCGTTCGGGCCGAGCAACTGGCAAGAGAGATGTGCCGTCATTAGCATGTGCCGGCAGCCTGCCGACGGGAGTCGAGTAACGCATCGGGGGCAACTGTACCTCGTTCGATTAACGTTCTGCCATTGTTAATTGGCGGGACTCGCTCCCATCTGCAGTCCGAAATTGGTTTTCCAGATCATTGTTCGTGCGTCATTTCGGCCAGGATGGCTGCGTAATTGTGGCGCATTCTAATCTGGCTCGCATGCCCCGGCTCCCAGCCAGCAGCAACCAACTAGCAGCAACCAGCAACAAGCAACTAGCAACTAGCAACCAGCCACCAGTCACGGGTTCATTTGCACAAATGGAGGCTGCCGCCCATGTCTGTGGCTCTTCTCGGAACTCCAGCGGAGTCCGTGTCCAGGCGAAAACTGGGCGTCATATTTCAAGGCGATCGGGGGCCACTCCTGCGTCCACGCATGCCCCGGCTTTAGATTCAGATCCAGATGCAGATGCAGAACCATCCCCATCCTCATCTCCATCGCCGTCTCCATTCCGATTTGTGTGGACGCGGGAGCTCTGAATTGATGCGCCCGGTGCACTCACAATTAATATTCGGCCAGGCCGAAGAGGCGGCTGCTGGAGTCCGGCCAGAGATTTCTCTAATGCCCGCCCGCCCGGTTTCCAGGCGCTATCACGTGATTTATTTTCTCTTTTAGTGTCTTTTATTTTATGATTTATGCAGCCACCGTCCGAGCAGCGCACTCGTTCGCCGCGTTATGTCCTGCACTGTACCTCACTGTGCTGCTGGTGATCATCCCGGCCGCAATTGTGCTGCTCGTCACGTTCCTGGCCACGACGATCTGCTGACTCAGGCTCCCCCTTGAGCCGCCAACTGGCCAAGTGGCCAAATGGCAGAAATAGACAAAGGCGGCGTTAACGACAATTGCGCACTAATTATCGCCTCTTGCGATGCGGCGGGTTGTGGCGACGAGGGATTGCGGATCGGAGATCGGGGACTGGGACTCTGAAAAGCATTCCTGGCGGGCGTGAATTGAATTCCCCGCATCATGGCTGCTGGTGATGAATGCCTGCTAGAGGACTGCCACCTGTCGGGTGCTCGACGGCCGCCGGTAACTACTTCATTTGGAGACGAATGCCGCTCCGCTGCCGCCGGGTCGCGATTTGATTTATGGCGCTGGAAATTAAAGCTGCGCACACTTCTGCGTGAGTTGCAGGAATGCGGCCCGCTCATTAGCCGGACAATGCGTCGCTATTTGGGCTAGGGCTAGGTCCTCGCAGGTATTGTCCGTCATGGTCGCTAACGGCGATTGGCCAACGCGGAAGCACTGGGCCCCATAATGGCATTTGGCCAGCCAGAGGTCCATCTTCGGCTGCGGAACCCATCCAGCCAGCATTCAAAACCGCTGAGCCAGACCGAAGACACACGAACATGGCTGGTGTAAGGTGTCAGTTATCGCCACTGACAACTGTCAGAGCAGAAGACCACACGGGCTCTAGTTCCGATCGCCAATAGAGAGTCGTCTGCTGAAACAAGCCCGGGACACGCAGCTTTTCAATTAGCCCGCATGCAACGGGTGGTTGGAGTCCGAAGGCGCATGCGATAACTCAGGAACTGCCTGGCAGCGTTCCACATTTGGCTCGGCCCAATAGCACCCCGCCCGGCGAGATCCAATGCAAATCAGCTGTCAGTCAGTCAGTCAGCTACTTGCCAGCCACCGTTGGCTCTTTCGGGCGGAGTGGGCCAGTGCTATTTAGCCACTTGCCAGGAGATCAATGGAGCGTTGACTTGGCCACGTGTCTCCGCCGGCGGCGTGTTAACTCGAGTGTGCCACCGTCCCGGTGTTTGTCACTTGAGATGCAGGACCGGATTGGGGGCGCCTTTGTCTCCGCTCGGCCTGCCGCTTTCCCGAGGGCGCCATCTCATTTGCATCTCGCCGTTGTGGTTATTCAAGGGCGCGTGGATCTGTTTGGTGTCGATTGCCGTTGTTCTTTTCACCTCCTGCTGCCAATTTTAAGTCCCTTACAGAGAGAGAAAGGGAGTATTCGTTAATAAAAAACCAGTAATAGGAAAAATTAAGAGCTGAATAAGGTTCAAGTTCAATGTTTAATATGTATTTATTAATTTTGTAACTAAAAAATGGTAGGACGTTATAATTCGAACTAATTGTACTGTATTACTTTCATCACTTTAATGTTTATAAGAAATCTGTGGTAAACGAAATTTTTAGAAAGCTAAATGGTATCGTTTGATTTTTATTATTAAATTAAAACTTAAGCCCATAAGAGAAGTATACAAATTGGTACCCACTTCTCATTAAAGAATTTTAAATTGAACTTCCAATTCCAACAAAATGTAGTCATGTTTATCATTCGTCCAAAATTCGAGATACTGGTGCCTGTTTTACCTGCATGAGAAAAGTCTTTCGCTGACTTTCCACGAAACAATTTTCTCCTCCTTGTTGGTTTCACCGGAATGGATTGGCAAGTTCATGACACCACGTGGGCAACACAGCAACATTTGGCGACAGCCCGCCGCAATATCGGGTTTTTGGTTTTTGGTTTTTGCTGCGGCTCTGGCAACAGGTTGTTGCTGTGGCCGATATCAAATTTCAAGTTCGGTCGGCCAATTGCCGTTCAAAACAAAACGAAACGAAAAAACTCGCTTAAATTTACCTCCTGGTAGGCGAAATTGCAGTCCGTTTTTTGGCAATCGTTGTTGGTTAGGTGCATCCTCTTTAGAAAGGAGGGGCAAATAATTACAATTATGAATAAAGAGATTGCTGATTTTCTTAAAATTTAGAGCTGCAGAAAACATGTAGTGAAGTTTGTTGGGTACACAAGTACTTCAAATAGAGACGACCAGCGATCTTGAGGACTTGGCCCTCAAACTCAGATTGTTCATTCCATCAGCGTGAGAGACATGGGGCAGGGAACAATGCGAACTTTTGTCCGGGAAACTTATCTCAACAAAAGACGGACCCGCTCATCGACGAGTGCCTGCACCGCTGACCTCTATCCACAAGTGGGGAGATAACCGAAGGCAGCTCCTGGTTGAACTCACTAAGTGGCTCCGGGGAGGGGCATCGGTTGCAAATACACTGGGTAGGGTGCCTAATCGATTTATTGTGCATGATGATACGCGGAATGCGGCAGAATCGTCAGCAAAAACATCTTAGACGCAGTTTTACACTTTGGCACTTGACTGGCAAATCATGACTTACAATAATCATATTTCCAACTATTTACTTTTTCTACCTTTCTAATCCTAATTGTTAAATTAATTACAATGGCTTTTTGCTGTGCCCTAAACGTTTTTTAATAAGACTTTGCCATTGTGTTGTATTTCTAACATAAAACTGATAAATCATTCTTGGGGTAGGCCATGCACTATTTGAAATTACCCTATGGTTTCCTATATTTACGGTATATTATATATATTCACTCTGATCCTGATCAAGATATTTAGCACTTAAAGAGTTCACAAATGCTTCCCATCACCTATTACGCACTATTTAACAAATACGACTATGCGTAGCAGCCTCCTTATATTTCTTTAAAGAACGCTTTTATACAAGTTAATCGGAATATGCAAGTGTTATGTTTTCTTATGAGAGAGTGGTTGTACTTTTGATTTTTGGGCGTGGCCTGCGTTTCAGGCAACGGATATGCCTTTGGGCATGGTTGAGATGTAGGTTACACCTCAACAAAGTCCGTTGCATGCCACATCAGAGCGTACTCATCAAAGCGAGCCATCAGATGGGAGGAAAAGAGGTTGGCGGCAAGTGGCACTTATCATGCCTGCGCCAAGTATGGAGAAGAAACTGCGGCGGAGCAAACGCAGCGAATTTAATGGACTGTAATTACGCCTTGCAGTTGCACTGGGAGCCCGAGTTGCTTGTCTGTTGTGTTCTATAGAAAATTAAGACCTAAATTTGCCTGTGCAAAATTTACGACGTGTTTACGATGCCTCAAATTATTGGTTGCGCTAATGCGTTACTGAAACGCGAAGTTAATTTCCGCTTTCTGTGCTCCCGACTGGTTATCACGATCTCAGCCACGGCCGCATCCCCCTCCACCCGTTGGCCAAAAGGGGAGGCCCAGTGTCAACTGTCAGAGCAGAGACTGCAAACTCTGAAAACCCGGAGCATAGTTCAAATTTTCAGTGATTGGTTCAAGCATACCCGAGCGTAGGTAGTTCGTAAATTTTCGGTTAAATGGAATTGGGACGAGAACTTCCCACCGACGATGCCTCGGTGGAACTGGATGGGACCGAGTCGTGGGGAGAGGTCGGGTCGTCGGCCAGCCTGCTCACCCTGAAGCGGAGTTGGAGCCAAGAGACGGTCGTGCCCACCGCGGAAGAGGATCCTGCTCCTCCCGAATTGAGTTTGGACGACATCCACCTTGGTCTTCTGGTAGAGGTGAGTGAGTCGCTCGATGAGACCCTAAATCAGCCAGCCTTCCATACAGAGGGGCCTGATCGAGTACGAGTCGCTGGACCAGCTCTCTGCCGAAGACGAGGTAGGAGACTATCCGAGCCTACTGTCCAGGTCGGCGGATCGCGGGGGAATCGCGGAAATAGTCAGGGAGATGCGAAACGAATTCATGGTCAAGCTGAGCTCCAAAGCAAAGAGCTTGAAGGAATTCCTGGTCCAGGTAGGAGTACTTGCCCTTGTGTGAACTTGAATACAGTCTCCCTGTTGCACTCGCAGAGGGGCCTGATGGATAAGAGCGTAAACGATCCCGCTCATTGGGAACGGGAGTCCGAGCCTAGGAGCCCTGCGAAGGTCCTTACATCAAAAGCCAATGATGGGACTGAATTAGAAACCCGTAGCGAAGAGGTGGCAAATCAGAGTGATGAGATCGGCCGGCTGATCAACGAGATCAATCAGTTCACGGCCAGACTGGAAATGGATCCAGGCAACGCCGATTGGGCTCAGTTCCGGGCAAATCTGATGAAAGTACACAAGCACTATGTGAGCGTCAGAGAGCCGCAAAAGGAGGAGCCCGCGGATTCAGCCGGTGCCCATTCAGCCTTCTCAGCGAAAGACGTCAGCAAGCCCTTGACTGATCTCGGGGGTCGGGCAAGGTACCTTCAAAGGAGCATTCGAGGCCTCGAGTGTAAGATGCTCACCCTGGACCAATCCTTCGAGGACTTCTGCGACAAGTTCAACCGCAACTTGATCACCAAGGAGCGCGTGGAGCGGGACATGGTGGTGCTTGCAACGATGCGCGACGGGATTGGTCGCCGGCTGAGCCAGATGGAAGTGGAGTTCCGTGCGGCCAGGGAGCATTTGTTTAGTCGGGGCAAGAATCCCCTTGCCAAGGGCTCCGAGCACAAGGGATTTCTCCTTTAACAATTTCCCTGGCTGTGCCGCTGTGCCCTGGGAGTCAAATGTACTGCGAGCATATTGAGTTGAAAGAATCTCTGCGTATATTACCAACTTGTGTAACTAAGTAAATAACTTTTGCCGAAGTAGAAACCATAAATTGTTTTATTTACCTTAATCATTAGAAGAAGTTCAAGTCTAGCCAGTGCGTCGAGATCTCGGAAGGTAGATGGTCTATCGAAGAAGAAAGGGAAGTCATGTTGAAGTCCTGAAATATAGGCTTAAAATTATCAAATAAAATTCAAAGTTTGAAAAGTTATTGAATATATCCACACTTTCCATGGTACTTGCCTACTACCTTGGAATCTGGAAATTTTTTTTAAGTTCTCATTTTAAGGAAAGCAATAAGCGCATTTCCTAATCATTGACTTTATTTAAATCTTAGATTTAGAGTAGGCCCTGAACCCAGTGCCAGTTCAAAATTGTCCGAAGTACTGCTCCAACACTCAGCACCCTTCCGAAATCGCTCCCATCCCTGGCGGGATGCACTTTCCTGTAGGCGGGCCTCAGTGACATCCGTCGAAAATCCTGCCGCTGCCGCTGTCGTTCGTCATGTGGCAATGGCGAAGTCACAACTTCGTGCGGGACATCCTGGCTGCAGCGGGTCATCCGGCGCTCTCCCCGCGGTTCTTCCTTTTGCCGGAGGAGAGCTCTCGGCCGCTGGAGGATGCACCCCGAGGAGTGCTCCAGTACCGGCGGCACATTAAGCCAGCTGTGGTAGACCCCTCCACTGTTGACGCGGAGCGAGTCGATGAACTTCGGCGTGGAGGCGGCGGATCGGCTGTGGTCGCTGTGTGGCGGGCTGCGTCCGAGGGCGCCCTGGTTCGGGGGATGCCAGACGCTGGACTGGTGCGGAGTGACCTGCTGCGTGGCCAGCACCTGCCGCCGCCTGGGCGAGTGAGGCGGAGAGCTACTCGCCGCGATCGTGGCTGACGGGGACCGCTAGTACCGCGCCGGCGTGGTGCTGAACCTCCGTGAGTGCGAGTTCCAGGACCTCTACTCTGTACAGCGCACCTGCTAGCTCCGCCATGAGCTTGCTGGAGGGGATCAGCTACTTCCTTACCCGGTTTCAGTGGGGTGTCCTCAAGTGCTAGGAGCGGCGCTTCTCCTTCGGGCACAACTATTTCTTCTTCGACAGCTCCGCCTGGTGCAGGCCTCTTTTGCCGGACAGGATGGGCAACTACTTATCCCTACAGGAACCCTTAGTCACCCAAGTTGCATGGGGACCAACATAACTGCTGTACGACGGACAAATAAAGGCTATCCATAGTGGACCAGCAAGCCACAAGCTTGTGTTTTGCTAGGAGCACTTCCACAAGGTATCGACTCCTGGTTTAGGTTTTCCCTGTGCTTTCTCGGTTTTGTAGTCTTTCAGCTGCAAAGAACTTAACTTTCCCACAAGCCTGGATTCGTTTGGTGTTGGTGAAAAACTCCCATTTAAAAGGGTCGTTCTCGATCGAACAATTTACACATCGGTAATAAGTTTTTCGGTTTGCTTGAAATATAGAAAGGGCTAACTTAAGTGGCATCATAGAATAGTATCTCCTTCTAATTATTACCGGGGTTTCTTCCTAACAAATTCTTTTTAGCAAACCAATACAGATTGCTTTCACAACATTCGTCGATTGATTTTTAGAAACTGGATGGTATGGAACAGAGTTGTGAGTGGCATGGAGTGGTCGGTCCGAAGATCTGGAGTGGATTTTCAGCAGTTTCAGAAATTTTTTCTTCAGGCCTCACTGTGGGGCCAAGCAACCAACTGACTCAGAAAACCAGTTTCGTTTTAAAACCAAAACAAAAGGTTTTGTTGTCCTCTTTGCCTCGTCGCGAAAAGTTAAAAATAAAACAGAAATAATAAATAAAAGTAAAACCTGTCCACTACGCAAATATGCAAAACATTGCACGGAAACTGTGAATCAGGCTGAGAAGTAGAAGTACAGGAACAAAAATAAACATAAACAAGCAAATAAAGCAGGCAGCGCCCGAGCTGCAGAGGCGAAATAAAACAAAACTGCATTCCGAAAACTCAGTCAAATGCAAAAAAGCCAGTGAGGCAGCGCGCAGCACGAGACAACTCAGAACTTCTAAAAAGGGCAACAAAACGGGGCGGAGGAGTGGGGAAAATCGGCCAAAAAGAAATCCGGTTTCGTTTTCAACCAGAACAAGGGCCGGGAAAGGTCTCTTTGTTGTGCAGCCTTACTTATTTATTGCTTCGTTTTTGTTTTCCGCCGCTTCCTCGACCGGCGAATAGATGCACAAACTGCGGGGGCGGCGCGGGGGAGCTAGCCGAAACGAAAGCCCACTGCCGGGATGGATTGCCCGGGAGACGAACTTGAAATTTAGATTTCGAGAGCAGCCGCAAGCGATGCAGGCGGCGCAGTGCAGTCGCTGTCGCTGTCGCAGTCTGCGTCGCAGTCGCAGCATTCAACTCATATCGGCAGCGGAGAGCAGTAAGTTGGAAGCTCTCCCCAGGTATTTGGCCCGCTCGAGTGTTAGTGAGAGCGCAGAGCTCCCATGCACTGCACACATACACTGCTGCAATTTGTAACTCTCTGGCAGTGTGGGCTTTATTGATTTTCGTTGTTCTTAATAGAATCACAAAATCGCATGCGATTTCCCCTAATTTGGTCTGCAATAATTAGAATTAGAATTTCTGTGGTTGCAGTCATCAACTGAAACAGTGTACTTCGCTTTGGGGTTTCCGAAAAAGTTTTTCAAAAGTTACCTAGTGACATGTGCATCTGATAACGAAGGAGCAGATTGCCCCTCTTGGAGAGATATGTATTCCCTATCAAAATAGACCAATTGTCTACAAGCCAAAGTCATAACTTCAAACTTATTAAAAAAAACTTCTCGTAAAGGTTCGGGGTCATTGCATCATTAAGAGCAACACTCTTGTTCTGAAAAGCAAATAAAGTAAAAAGAAATTGCCAAAAAAGTGAAAACCGTAAAAACTGGCAAAGGCCACCAGCGAGCAAAAAACGCTGTTGCAGTTTGGGCCCTGTTTTCTGCTGCCTTGGTTGGTGGGGGTGGTGGATTTGGTGGGTTTGTGCATTGGCGGGTGGTGGAAGGCGAACGCGAAAAAGAGAGAGAGCTTCACTGACGGCCAAAAATGCACGACCATAAACAGGAGAGAATCGGCTTGAAAACAGCAGGAAAGCAAGATTGATGATCTCGTGCAAGGATTTTGTGAGTATTCCTCAACTTCTTCCAGCTGAAAGATCACGAACGGGAAAACGGAGAGCAATAGCCATTAGGAGGAGAAGAGAGCATTCTATTTGAAGGTGGTAGAAAGAAGAGATTTGGGAGTTCGCTGCTTATTCGGGCGCTTATTCAACATAAATAAATATGCACCTGTGTTCATATACACATGTCTCTCTAGCAAAAAATGTAAATGTTTTACGGAAAGGGTTGTGTGATCTGTTTCTGATCAGTAAAATCAAATAGATTGGGTTGGTGGAGGTAAACAGCACCACCACAATTAGCTTTGAGCTAATGTATAAGCAAACTTAATTAAAAAAATCCATGTTTTGTTAAAAAAAGGCAAATGTAATGAGGATTAAATAAACATAGTTTTACAAACTTTACTTAACTTTGAACCGCGGAGGAATGGTTTCGAAGGTTAAGAGCCGGCGAGAACGCAGCCGATCAAATCATGGAATCCATCGAATAAGTCCGGCATGTGACCACTCGAGACATCGCCCAGGAGTCACCAAACCATTTTAAACCAGGCATAGAAGGCAGGATACATACATACATAGAAGGCAGGTACATACATCATTTGACTCAAAAAAACGTTCTGGACCGAATCAACGCCTGCGATATGCGCCTGAAACGGAACGAACTAGACCCATTCTTGAAGCGGATTGTGACTGGTGAAGAAAAATGGATCACATTAGACAATATCAAGAGAAAATGGTCGTGGCCAGGAAGGTTTTCCTGTGTGTTTGGTGGGATCTGAAGGAAATCATCCACTATGAGCTGCTCCCATATTGTCAGACGTTTCATTCTACCATCTACCGCGAACAAGAAGCGTCCAGAATTGGCCAGCACGAAGGCGTACTGTTCCACCAGGAGAACGCCAGACGTCAGAAGCTCGGATGGGAGGTTTTATCGCATCCACCATATAGCCCGGACATAGCGCCAAGTGATTACCACCTGTTTATGGCGAACGCCCTTGGTAGTGCAAAGTTGAACTCAAAAGACGCTTGTCAGAGTTCTTCGTAAATAAGGAGGGAGACTTTTACGAGGAGAGTATAATGAAGTTGCTGTCTAGATGAAAACAAATGATCGAACAAAACTGGCATATTTGAAATATATCCGAACACTTCCACTAAAGAGGAAATAAGAAAGAAAGAAAGCTAGCTTCGACAAGCCGAAGCTTATATACCCTTGCAGTCATCAAATACCTCGAACAAAATACATAAAGACTAACCAACATCGAAGCTATGACGACTTTTCCTTATGCGTCTATATTTTCGACGATTGTTCATATGACAGCTATATGATATAGTCGTCCGATTTTTATAAAATTTAATTCGAAACTCAAGGGTCGTTAAAAAAGTGTAAATTCCAAAAATCATGATTGTTTGATGAAAGACAACGATGTTATCATTTTTATACCCATTGCTCTGCAAGGGTATAATAATTACTCTCTTGAGCGGTTGCAGTTTGTCACTTTATCGTGGCAACAAAAAATCTGCAATTATCCACGATTTAATTTAATTTTTAGCGATATTTTTTTGTGTTATAAAAAGTTATTAAAAATGGTTAATTGGATTTCCCGTCTTTGGAGAAAGAGAGGCTCCGAGCTTTGGGTGAAGCGTTCCTTTCATCTGATCCCTGCCGAGCTATTTGGAACACTTTGCTATTCAATTTTTGAAAGAGTTCTACCATGGCGTCGAGGCGGTTCCTGACCCTCATAAGTTTCTGGCTGGTAGTCTCAGTGTCGAGCGCTTCGCACTTCACACTCAAAGCATGTGCCATGGAATTCGCTCCATTAATGTTGGAGGTGTGATCTGTTTCGCCAAAACTCATCTTCAATTTGGCCCTACTTTTTTGAAAACTAAAATTCCGAATAATTTGTGACTTGTTGTACTATGCACATGTGTGTACATTTGTTTGTACAATATACATTTAAGTTGAAAACATAGGCGTATAAAATTGCCACTTGCTTGCCACAAGTTTACTAAAAGTCATCATTAAAATATGTTTTATATAAGTCAAGTAAAGAACGAATACACAAACCACGAAATTTTGTGGTGCCCACAGTTTTTGGATTCCACTTTTTCCAAATCTCTCAAGCCCACTTTTAGGTCCTCGGTATTTTAGAGACTGCTAGAGCAGCAAGAACAAAAATAAGTTTCAAGGAAAGTGCGAAGCCCCTTTTACACCTACGAGCCGCTAAGTTCTGATTTAATGGCAAAGCTTTTTTTAGATTATTGTGATTAAAACGGACACCAACCGCAAAACTATTTGGCAACCACAGCTTTTATACCCTTTTAGAGGGTATTATAATTTTAGTTGGAAGCTTGCATCACAGTGATGAAGCACCTAAGACCCCATAAAGAATATATATTCTTGATCAGCATCACCATCTGAATCGTCTGGCCGTCTGTCCTTAAACCAGTTAAACTGTAAAGCTATCTCGAAAAATTTTTATCAATGTAGTGTAGTTATTGCACGCAGTATATGTATAAATCGGAAATGGCAGGATTGGACGACTTTATCGGATAGCTCCCATCGAAAATTATCATATTGTCAGATGATGTTTTCTTGGGACCCCTGAATCTCCTGAATCTATGTATTAAATAAATCGTATGATTAATATAGCTGCCATAGAAAAAATCGAAAAAGGTATATAAAATTAATCAAAAATTAAACTTTTTTATCATACAAGTACGATTTTTGGAATTTCGATTTTTTTTTAATTGAGAAAGAAATTGAATAAAAATCTATTATACCATGTAGCTGTAATAGGAAAGCTCGAAAGACAATTGAAGTAATAAATACGCAACTAGCAATGTCTTCAAAAGGTTTTCACTCCTATAAAATTTGTTTAGTAACAGGTATTCGATAATTGGGAACTTGACTCTTTTTAAAGACCTAAAAAATCTTATGGAATATAGGAAGAATCTTGTTTTGTGTTTATAATTTTTATTTGATAAAATTACAATAGTTTCGTAAGGCAACTGTAAAAACAGGCGGCAATGGTATTTGTTGATTGGACGGAGTACTTGACTGTACAGCTGAGCTCCTAATTAGAAGCGGAAATGCCTGAAAAATTGT